ATATACTTTTATAGCTAACATAGCACAAGATACCTGTGTGCGCGCAATTTTTCATATATATATATATGTTGTTTAGACTAAATCGACTTGTTGTTGACTAATTGTTTCTGGTGCAGATACTTATGAAAAATTGCGCGCACACAGGTATCTTGTGCTATGTTAGCTATAAAAGTATATCGTCAATGGCTACTTTTTAATAGTAGCAAACATTTTACACCTAATAATAATAATGTGGTATTCAGTTACAAGTTAAAGGCGTTAGGTGTTTTTAAGATAATGTGTATTCTTGTTAATTAAAGAATTTAGTCAACGATTATTGTGTCGTTATCAGTCTTAGACGTTTACCATGGTAACCATATAAAAAAGGAGATCAGAATTATTATTAGTATCCTATTATCATTATTATGTACTATTTAATATCTTATTTTTGTGATAGTTTTTGGTTAAACTGTCAGAGTCCTGAGGTAATCCAAAAAGACTAGGATACCCAAACCACAGATGATGACTAATCGACTTTATAAAATTTAGATTTTTCAGTAGTTGATGTGCCGACAGCCTAAGACGTTACAATTCGAGATTACGGGGATAACGACATTTCCAGCTGACATAAAATAGTGTATATTAGCAGAGAGCATCTATGCAAGCTGCAACTTTTCACTGAACCGTTGTTTTACATCAGTTGCCTCATATCCGCTATCTTTCCAGGTGTCCTGGCAGTTATGGGACTTTACATGATCTTCGGATACTTCGCGGCGTTCATCTGCAACGTCGTTGGGTTCGTGCTGCCGGCCTATTGGTCAATGGCGGCCATTGAAACGTCCGACAAAACGGATGACACTAAATGGCTTACCTATTGGGTTGTTTTCGCCGCTTTCAGTGTTATCGATTTCTTTGCCGATGGCATTTTCACGTAAGTAGCCCTGACGCACGTTAGTAACCATGTTCATTTCATACATTTAGTATATTGCTATTCGTATCGTCTAAAAGGTATTGAGGGAATACTGGGGAGGCAATCCAATTCTTACGTTAATACCTACATTTCTCTGATGTGGGAGAAAAGGGGAGCCATCGCCATTTTTAGAAATGTGAGTTTAGATAAAGCTAATCGAGCAATGTGTGAACTCTTCTGCATTCACAGGTACTTTCCGTTCTACTGGCTCGTCAAGTTGATTTTCCTTGCTTGGTGCTTCGCTCCAATTTCAGAGAATGGCTCGCACAAAATCTACCACAGAGTACTAAGGCCATATTTCCTAAAGAAGCAAGCCACGATTGATAAAGCGCTGCAGAGAGCCTCTGAAGCAGTTGGTGCCAGTCTCAAAGCAGACTAATTATGTTGATAGTGGTGACAACGATCAGTTATCAGCTAGCTACATTCATGACTTTGCATCGCATTGAACTGATGCCACGTTTTATGCTTATTATGATAACGACCTTGGTGGTCCTCACGATAGGATACATTGTTAAAAAGGAAACAGATTAATGACGGCAACGCATCTGCTAATAAGAGATTTGTTAATAGCATAGTTCTACGCATCGATATGGAGACTTCTTACACCAGAGATTAAGAAATCTTAATTTTCCTTTAATGACTAATATAATAGGATCGAACAGTGGGCCTGTAATATATCTGGTGTGGGCGTCGGAGAAAAAATTACGATGGTAATACTTCGTCAGCCACAGCGGCAATGGGCTAAATGCTGTTGTTGACTGTATGGTCATGATGACGATGAGTAGTACGATTTTTTCAATTATAATGGATACAAGGTTTCAAAAAATCCGATATAACATTGTTCTCGATTGGAAACAAATATATGTAGCGCAACTGTTTATCGCGAAGCCTTTAAAGTAATTTCACAACAGGAAAACGGCCAAGTGTTTCCACTAAAAGTATGGCGTTTCTACGATGGGTGTCATTATTCATGAGCATGACTGTTAATTGTTTTTTGGATAGGTGATTTTTGTTGGATATGAACGTTACTTTTTCTTAATTCCTAGAGTTAATTGTCAAGTGAGGATTAGACAAGTCGAGGGGTGTAGCTATAGCTCATTAATTAAATCGTTGAGTTTTCTTATAACTAGCACCGCAGACGGAGAACATGTAATGGCTTGTTTTTAAACTTTTATGCTGAAAGGCAAAGAGAAAAATAGCTAAAAACAGAATGCAAGTAAACAGCAACTTCGCGGTGGGTTGTGCAGAAGATGGGGGCGTATTATAAAGTGAAAATGCATTATTATATATAGAAAACGTATTATAAAGTGGGAAAAACAGCTGGGATGTGGCAAACGGAGCGCATGATGAGCGATAATTTAATAAGGTTATGCTAATGATAGTAACAACATAACCAGGCATGCATATGCGCTGTGCGCATATTCTTAGATATTCTAATACTTAGTGTCGGAATGCTGAAAAAATGAAGCCAATAAACGAGTCACCTACTAGGTATTAATAACCCGTTCTCGTTCCCTGTGATTCCGTTGAGTTAATTAGACGTCATTCGACGTAAATTATATTTACTATCAGATCTACAAGAAATGTTTCTAGAAACTTCTATAAACAAGTTCGATATGTTGCGTCACATTCTGGGACTCGAGAGAGCCAAATAACTACAAATCGGTAAGCTGACAAAGTCCTTCATCGTAAGTTCGTCTTTCATTCCATTCGTGGGAATATTTTATCGGGAATATTTTATCTTAGTCACATAACATCAGGCTACCGTCCGAAAATGGAGCACACTGGTTATGAATACACTTTGGAGGCTTAGAAACATTTAAGAATCAATCATTCAAATTTTTTCACGCACACACCGGCTCACTCAGCACTGCTTTCCTCAATTTAATTTATAACAAATTTGTTTATATAGTAAGTTCATCACAGATATCCTGTTCCTATCATTTTACTCAGTTTTCCCACCATCTTGTTCTAATTAAGCACTGCAAAATTTTATCCATTCGGTTACCCCCTTGTTTTCCTATCTCGGTAATTCGGTAATCTTGATCCACTTAATTGCTTCGGTTTTGACTCCGAAATCAATGTGATCTAAATCGTTATCATTATCATTTTCGTACTCTGGTTAAGGAATTACTCATTGCGGCCACTGCAATGCAATAGTGCAATAAATCTTCCTAAATTCAAAGGGAGAAAAGCTAAATGAGAGGTACTCGTTTAGTACAATAGGTATGACCCATTTAAGCTTATCTGGGCAGATTTTAGAGAATAACATTTTTGTTTCTTGGAAAAAAACAGGAGATAAATTTGCTAAATTACCCTTACCTTGATATCCATATTTATTTTACAAAAACAAAGGTATATTGTAGTCCGTTGATGCTCTATACTCTCGTTTTCTAGCCGATTGAAGAAGATTCGAAGCATTTTCTGGTCGAGACTAAATGCGAAGTATTTGCGAAGGCATTGCACAACTCTAATAAAAAATTGCATAACCAGCAATCCAGTTTGATCTAGTTTGATTATATGAGCAGACCTCTAGCATTTTACAAAAATACATATGGCCTACAACTCCGCACAATATCCAGAAAAATCGTTTTCTTTATCAGGGGGTAAAAACGGGGTATTAACTGGAAATGATTTGGACAAGTACTTCATTGCTGGAAAACAAAACTCACGAGCAGATGACAAGTCTCCTGGCTTTATGCACGTCAAAAGAAGCAGATTTTCTAATTTTGATGGTATAAAAGTTCCGTATACAGCTCCGGTTGATAACATCTCCATATAGCGAGCGTCGGAATACCAAAATGTAGTCCTAACGTATATCCTGTTTTCTTTTGCCAGCAATGCCGCAGTGATCTGTTAGATTTGGGTAGTGTTAACTATTTGAGGCATACTGATGAGAGATATCGCCCCACCTTACGTATAAAGAAACTGGTATCCGAGTAGTAAATACTAGGGCCTACATATATTCCCTGACAAATATACATTCGTAGATTCTCCTATATTACTGCAGGTTAGTGAATCTGTTGCTGGTAAAACTAATGTAATTAAGCTTCTATAATATATATATATATATATATATATATATATATATATATTAAGAACTACCTGTTGTCGGGTGGTCTGTTTATTGGAACCTTTTCCGTTGTTGTTAATGTGTATCGTTCAACATTACAAAACACAACCCCGTCGCAGGATGGGGGTTGTACGTCAGTGTTATGTCACGCCGCCTATGTCCGTTTCACCATTCATTTATTATTTTCATATTTTTTACGTAAAATAATTGACAATTAGTGCTAACAGCAGCATTTTAGGCGTAGACAGATGCCACTGTCCACATGTAATAGTGAGTAATAATTGTCCTTTCTTCACACGATACTTGGTTGAGCTATGGCCGCTTCCCCTTCAAGAGGTTGCCAGACCTAGCGTGGTCCTTCTTACATCTTGTCTAGGTAGTTGTCAAGCTCTGGAAGAGACTCTTTGAGTCCCTTGCGCTTTCTCGTCTCCATGACGATTTGATAGGGGCGAGACTTGCCGTCCAGGGGGTCTCCGGGTAGGATTTGCCAGTGGTCGAACACGCATTGCGGGAACGCTTGACCGCCAGTGTTCGAGCGAAGATCGGCGGTGAAACCGAACGACTCGTTCACAGGCAGGTAAGCCTTAACGATGAACATTGGAGTTCCAGCAACCTGCGACTCCTCGATCACATGGCCACGACGCCTGTTGAGTACACCATAGATACCTCCAACAGCATTTTCAGGGCATTGTACCTCGACGAGGTAGACGGGCTCCATGAGACGTGGGGCGCCAGTGAGTAAACAGGCGTATAGACATCGACGAGCTGTAGGGATAATTTGGCCACCACCACGATGAATGGCGTCAGCGTGAAGTGTCACGTCGTGTATGTTAAAACGAACGCCACGCATATTCTCGTCGCACAGGACAGATTCCTTGGTTGCCCATTGAAAGCCAGCGACAACGGAATCTTTAATTTCATTAAGGTACTGCACGCCTTTGGTGACATCGACAAGGAGATTGGGACCTGTACCCTCAGGACCGAAGGCCCAGATTTTCCTAGCCTCAGTAGCGTCCCACTCATATTTCTCTACGAGATTACGGGCACGGATTTTGAAGTCGTCACGTGGGTTGATTTCACCTTTATCGATATCGTCAGACAGACCTTCCGCCAGGGGACAGGCCTTCATAAACAGACGGTTGTGCTTGTTAGGTGATTTAGACAAGCAAGTAATGTCTGACTCCTCGGACACCGATTCTCTGTACGACACAACGGGGTCGGTCTTTTTCAGAGGGATACCAGCATGATCTTCTTCTAAATCTTTCAGACAGATTTCCAGATGGAGTTCACCAGCTCCAGCAACGATGTGCTCGCCAGACTCCTCAATAATACATTGAACCTGCGGCAAAACATAATAAGAGTAAACTAATGCTGTTGAACAAACCTTTTTCATAAAAAAAGAATGCTTGCTTTTAAGTAGATAGCTGATAATATACATGTTAGCATGTAACAACTATTGCAGAAGTTATCTGACAGGACAAGTACCTTATTATTCCCGGTCAAAAGAGTACTCTTATCCTAACAGCAGAAAGTTTCTGTGCACCTAGATAGGTCGGCAGCACGTTTATTTGAATTACACTAACCATAGGATCGGACTTGGCGAGACGCTTAAGACCTTCGACGAGCTTGGGTAAGTCGGCCGGGTTCTTAGGCTCGACGGCGACGCGCACGACCGGCGAAACAGAGAATTTCATTACACGCATATTGTGCGAGTCCTTGAAAGTGGTGATGGTCCCTGTCTTGACCAAGAACTGATCGACTCCGACCAGACCACAAATGTTACCACACGGCACGTCTTCAATGGGTTCGACATAGCGACCCATCATGAGCACAGTACGTTGAATGCTCTTCTCTGCGAGATCTTCCTTCTTGCCGTGCACAAAATTAGGGCCCATGATGCGGACTTTCTGGCCAGAGCTGACGATTCCGGAGAAGACACGACCGAAAGCGTAGAAGCGCCCCTTGTCAGACGTCGGTACCATCTTCGACACGTACATCATGAGGGGCGCATCAGGGTTGCAGTCCTTGATGCCCTTAGCGGCCTCATCGTCATGAGGGCCTTCATACAACAGTTCCATGCGGTAACGCTGAGCCGTCATCGGTGATGGCAGGTGAATGGTAATCATTTCAAACATAGCGTCTCCAGCGGGTAGCCAGGTACGCATGACAACCTTCAGCAGATCTTTACCCTCCTTGTCTTTGTCTTCACCTTTCAGTTTGATGTTGAGCTTCTCGATCAGACGGGCTGCCTCGTCCTTTTTATAGTTCATGATAGCATCAAAGATTTTGTAAATTGGATCTAAAACAAACATTGTAAAGGCTCGTTTGAATCCGTCACCCTGCGTCTTGGCCCATTTTTTGGTGGAGGGATTGTAAAAGTTCTCACCCCAAAGCTTGTTCATCAGTTTCTCGACGTCGATACCGAACTTTCCAGCATAGATCTCGGCAAATTGTTTTAGTGTAAAAGCCCATCCGTGAAGTCCAGAGCCGAAGCCTACCGAGCCCTTAGCGGGATCGACCTTAAGGTCGCCCATTGGGCCGGACTCGTCACCGTAAGTAGAAATAATGACATTGATGTTTTCAACGATACGCTGGAAACCTTGATAAAGATCCTCAGCCTCGAGCTGCAGGGTGAGCAGTGCCAAATCCATCTTGTTCATGAACAGAACTGGCTTAATACGTTCGGCAATAGCTTGTCGTAGTACGGTTTCGGTCTGCACGCACACACCAGATACGCAATCTACTACAACCAAGGCACCGTCCGTGACTCGGAGAGCGGCCGTTACTTCAGATGAGAAGTCGACGTGGCCGGGTGAATCGATCAGGTTGATCAAGAAGCCCTTAACGCCCTTCTCACACTGGTCAACGCCTTTGATAAAGGCAAGATCCTTTTCTGCTAGCTCGAAGTACATAGACACAGCCCTGCAAATAATCAAATTTTACATACGTAGGTATATGAAACAATTACCATACGTCTTGGCTTGAAAAACATGCGGATCCTTATTTTATAAGTAATTACAAATGTAGCAAATCGATAAATCGAGTTAGAGACATATCGGTCGAAAATAGTTAGGGGCAGGCGTACGTTGCAACGCTATGCATGCCCTACGGACAGCAGCGTGCCGACCTTAGTCTTTTGATGACATGCCAAGCCGGTTCTCTACAACCCTTCCATATGGCCGCTACCTTAATGCATTAATACGTTGCATGCATGATATTAAGACAAATACAGTGTGTAATCATCTTGATAAAGTAAGGTGGCTTTACAACGGAATGGTGTTCCTGGAGTAAAGGCATCAGTGTAGTAAGATAACCAAATGCAGTATTGACTGTCCCATTATTTTCACTTGTTCTAACATCTGGGTGTGTATTCGCCGCAACTCGGCGTATACTTACGTCGACTTGATGGTGATGCAACGCTCTTGTTCATCCTTTCGCGTGTCGGTAAACCGAGTCTCTCCAGCCTTTGCTCCGGCGATAATTCCGGCTTTCGACACGAGCGAATCGGTGAGGGTGGATTTGCCGTGATCGACGTGGGCAATCACGGACATGTTCCGAATATTTTTCTTCTTGTTCATCAGCGCACGAATCTCGTCGACTGTGAAGTTCACCTACGTTACACAAAAAATGGCACAAACGAAGACAGATACGAATACAATAACATCGACCAGCAAAAAACGCCTATTCCTATTATAGTAGGACTGTATCAGATGGACAGGCCCACAGTGGCGGGCTAACAGTACCCCACAAGTCAGTGAACGCAGCTGGTCAGCTGACAGGAAACTTCTCACTACTACTACTAATACTACTACTTGATATGTGCATGTCTGGTTGGAAAATTCGGCTGACAAGTTTCATCCGTCAATCCTAGCTTTAGAAGCCTCCAAAGCAATTCCAGTTTGTTCCACATGCGAAGACGAAAGAAGGGAAAGCATTTTGAGATCGCACCACGTGCTAAAAGAAACATTGGACTTATGCTGTATGGCCCCACAGAAGTCAGGCCGACAAGAAGTAGCCACTTAAGCCAATACTGGTAATTTCATAAAGACGTGATGCTAGACCGTCGTGTTAAATACTGTAGCAAATTTAATCCATGAGGGTTGACGTGGCCGCCGTGGTTGCTACACTTCAGCCAAACGCTGTTTGTATGCACTCGCCCCCAGCATTTGCTAAAACGAAAAAAGGTTGAATAGTATTCGGTGCAATTTGGTCATAATTTACGCGTTTTTATAACACTTCCACTGCAAGGTATCGTATCTCCGATCCAATCGTTCACAAAGCACTTGTATTTTTGGCGCAAAAAGAGCCACACATGAAAAGCGGCAAGACCCATCACAAATATTTTAGGCCTCTTGCATTCCCAAAACCTTTCAATCATATTTCGCACAAGTGCAACAAATATCACATAATTAGTGAATCCACACGATAAATCGTAGCACGTCGTCGCAGGATAGAAGGAGATTTTTGCTGGATGGCTTACCATTTTGAAGTTTTTTAAGTGGTCCTGCGGCTCACAAAAAAAACTTCACTCGCACGATGGCGGGTCTAAGGCGAAAAGGAACCAGACCCGATGCCGACCAGGCAGGTCACTCAGCTCCCTCATTGTAACGCCACTAGGCGGCACTTCCATCGGCCCGCAAATTTCAAAGAGCCGCTTAGCGTACTAAAGTGGCGAGTACTCTCAGCGTGAAAACTAGATATCATATAACTTTGAATTATACGCAACCTTTATGGAATTTAAACTTGTATAATCTAGGGGAAGTTATTACGCAAAGTCCTCACTGTTAATAAGTTTATTCGAGTAATAAAACGTGGTTCCAGCAGAAAATGTCTAAAAATTCTCATGCAGACTCATGCAGAGACTCCAATTTATAATATGATCATTATTGTTATTTTTTTACTATAGGTGTTGTTGACATGACTGACAACAGTCAGATAAACGAGTTTTGCAACTAAGTGGTAGTCTACCGCAAATCCATTGCGAATTCGAAAAAAAATCATAGTTTGAAAATGGCGCTATCGCCGTACCATCTGACACCTTGCAAGAACGGTGCTGTGTGCTGAGGTGACATCACTGCCAACTTGCAGTGACGTTCGAAATTGCCCCTCCGCGTGGGGTGCTTTCTGATTGTGTGAGGCGGGCTGATCGGGTCGACCGGCTTACCTGAAGCAAAAGTTTAGGCAGTGAAAAACGGTGGTTTGAAATTCGTGCGTCAAGCGGGCCTGTTTGGTCCGGTTTGATTTACTTGGCGAAACTATTTGTTCTGGGGGCTACGATGACCTCGTCGCAACGGGGCTCAAACATTGCACCGGTCCCGTTACTGGGCTCCGAAGTGTTTACCGAAATCCTTCTCCGAGTAGTTCTTATTGGGGTTGCCATGTAAGTGGCTTCGTTGATGATACGTAGGGGCAAGGTACCTTCAATAAAAACGAACTGCGGCAAAAATTAGATCGAGTGAAGAACGCATTATGTGGACCTTCGAATAAATAAAGCAAATTATAATATAATTAACCTTTTATATAATATTATTAACGAAAATTATCTTTTCAACCACTTACTTGGTTCCTTTGTAGAACCCTAATGTATCGGTTCTTATATACCATTTTCCATGTAGTCATAAAGAGATGTGTTAGAAGCGCTACGCAAACCACTTCGTGGGACTAGCGGTTTAATTACTAGCCTCATAATAGCAAAGTTATAAACACGCTTTATTCTAGAAAACTTCATTTATGGCCATTGGACACAAAACTACTAAAATAGCGTAATAGCTAATCATAAGCAGATGTAACCAATAAGAGTATTTGTTTTCCCATAAAATGATGTGCAACGTCATTGCCGTAAAATAATCGTGGATAGTTTTTACATAGGTGGCGTATATACACATTTTTATATGCTTTTCATAGTGATTTATTAATATTTGAACGATTGTCACAAGCGGCTTTCATATAATATTAGAAAACACCCGCCGATTTACGTATATATTTATTGTAGAGTATGTCGCCTTTTAGCGGTTAAGCTTCTGATTTTTATACTTTTAACTTAAAGGATAGCACGAATTGCTTCTTTTTTTAGATTTTATTCCATCAAGCTTTTTTCAATTGATTGTCAATTAAAGACCTTTCAAAAAACATTTGAAAACCTTTCTACCTTTTTCTAAACTTAGCACCGGTCTGAGTGACAATAGCTGCAAAATTGGCTACTTAATAGGAAACTCAGTATAAAGATGGAATTTTCTATATGTAACGATGAGAAATTTTCGCAATGGAAATTACCAGCGCTAGCAACTGCTATGACAAATATTGGTAATAAAATCCAGAACGTGCTGACTTAATGAGTGACACATGACTAAATATACGAACTTTGTTTCGTAACAAAATATGTTTTTGAATTTCAATATATTCAGGTATCATTGATTGTGCTATTCACGGTGTCCCAAAGATGAACACAGGCTGTTCATACAACCAAAATATGTTTGTCACAATCGGTCATAGCTAAGGTACACTTTGGGTTGACTGCGCTACTCACTTAGCCCACGTATAATAAACCCAATTTGTTTTTTTCATTAATTTTTGCTTTGTCCTTGATTTCTATGGCATGCAAACTTCAAATTGGATTATAACAAAGTACAATACAAAGGTGTAATCTAGATTATAGAAAATGTGATGGTACTGTATGCCATAGTCATAAACTAGGCGTCAAAGATAAACCTATTCTATCATTTCAGGGTACTCGAATTCGTACCTGCGTTTGAGCGAAAGATACAACCTGAGGAGGCGTGGTTGTATAAAAATCCTCGAACCAACAGTTATATATCAGTCCAGTTGCTCTATGTAAGTACGTTCCAATCCACAACAGTTTAGTGAAAACAAGAAAGGATAAATTTGATCAACCAGTAAAACAATTTTTAAATTTCGTCTAAAAATATTAACATTATTGGTCAATCTACAGCAACGCCATTTATGCTCACTTTATACTTTTAAAGTACCTAAGCACTGAACTGTAGGAGAGATGCGTGGCCTTCTATAGATAGATCTTTTAATGTGGTATTCGGCTTTCCCAGTTAGATAATTTGTGGTTTAGTGCAATGTGCATAATTGTGCGTCTTATCACATGTATATACCTAAAATAATGCATTTCGTGTCTACAATTGGAAAGACTGTGACGTGTAATCATCCGTGTAAACCATGTTTTTCTCGCTTATCCTGTCCTGTGCATCCTTATCCTGCGCATGTCTCAAGAGTTGTCTCCTTAAAAAGGACTACTTAGCGCTTGCACTGATGCCTGTTTTGTATTGGCTTCAGTGTCATTAGTAGTCAAAACATGCTACCAGAGGTACAAATACACATTTTACTGCGAGATCATAAGGTGTCGTCGTAGAGAGACAGAATAATCTTAAGAGATTATAAATCTTTATAGGGCTCCTTTACAACATCCTAACAGCGTTTTCATTGTAAACAAATGTGAGTTGTTAATTTATAGATGCATGCGATTTTGTTCACGTTCAGAATATTAATTAAGCTTAACTGTAGATATCAACATGCGAAGCGTGCGTTCCTTTTTCTGAAAACCAACTCACCAATTTCACTAGGACAATCGACTAAAATCTAAACTGAACTTCAGCATAAGCAGATACCCCTTTATATTGCATATATGATTGCATGTATGTTAACATTGCTATGCTTGTTTGATGCTTGATTATCATGTGACTAATTGCAGGTGTTGATCTTCGTTGTCCCTTCATCTGTGGTCGTCTTCGTTAACTATGTCCAACCCAAGAACAGATCTGACATTAGTGCTGCCCATTTAGGTTGGTTTCACTGCTTTATTCCTTTCGCTCGTAACTTAAGCGCGCAACTTTAAATGAATTACTTATACGACCAAAAATCTTTCGTACCTTACGCCGAATACTGCCAATAAACATTGCTTCAGAAATACTGCTACTGCAGTAGGAACAAATACATGCGCAAGATCGTGTTTACTAGAACGTAACACGTACGTTATGCGTTGCTAAACCCTTGAATAGAGAGCACACCGTTCCGGACTTCTCATCCGAAACCTATGAGTGATATGATACCTCAAATTATTGGCATTATTTAATTATATACAACTTAAACTCCATGTACCGTCTCAATAATCCGCTCAAATCCGACCCCTTAGAGTAGTCGGATTACGCTAATTCTTGGCGGTTTGCCGGAGTTTTATCCTGGAGACAACCGCGTGTAAGATGAAAGTTGCAATACATTTTTTCTACAAAGAACTTGTTTTTGCATTTCATAAAGCGTAATGTTGGTTTGGGCAATCTTTTTTTCTGCAGTTTTTTGGTCTTTTAGGCCTACGAGCTATATTTTGATGGGAACTTTGTCGCGGTTTTTTTTGCTGACAGAATAGCGGCCGGAGGTTTAGAAGAAAGTCTATGTAGAAGCAGAGGAAGGGAGGGTCTTGATTCCAGTCGAAAGTTGTCGTTGAATTGCATAGATATTTTAGCGTAAAAATCGGCCGAAACTCATTCGTTTTGGATAAATGACAGTGGGATGAGGATTTTTTTCAACATATTTTTAATGTGTCTTCGAGCAGATTTCTAATAACTGTAACTAAAATTGATATTTCAGCCTGAAAATGGCCAAAAACCGAATATGATAGGTTTTTCGCTTAGGTAATACTAGGATAAAAATCGTTTACACAAAAGTCTATCTAAAGGTTTTTGTTGGTACTAATCCAAAGCTTCTGATGAGCTGAACTGAAATGCCACGTGTCTTCGTATATCTAAATCTCAGTATTCGAATCGCCGAAAAACGCCGTCTGAAAGGCGAAAACTTAACACGGTATTTTATGTAAAGAGCACCAATCGATAGGTCTCAACTACCTGGGTAGATATGCACTACATCTATAATTGTACAAAAAGTTAATACTTTCAAGTGATAATTGCGAAAATCCTATTGTCGTATAGCTCGTATAGAATCGAGTTTTAAGTGAAATCCTAATAAATGCCAATTGCAAAGTCGAAGTGGCTAATGTAAAGTTGAATTTGGTAAAGATTTTTCTTTATTAACTTTCAACGAAAAATATCAAAACGTCAAATAAATATATGCGACCATCTATTAAAAAATTTAAAAAATATAATAAAAAAATTAAAAAAATAAAAATATAAGTCACATTCTACAGAGTCAATATCATCTAAGACATATGAAATCATCATGGAATGTTATATTTACTTCGTTTCATATATGCAACTATTTTTTATTAAAAAAGGAAATTTAATATTTATTATGGTCTGGTGGTACGATCAGAGTCAATTTTAATAAAATATATAAAAAAGAATAACATTTTTAAATCTCAGTGACATCCCAAAAACAGGATCAATAGGTTAGGCAGCTCGACCAATCGAAGTATCCGTTAAAAATCGACTGAAGGCCGACTCGATTGACACGTCTTTCAAAGGTCAGCTGATAGCGTACCCCAGTTTACGTGCAATTTGAAAACAGTCAATCAACCAGTAGTAAAACAGTCCCCTAATTACGTTATCGAAATGCACATAAGACCAACATATCTCGGGGAAAACAAATCTAAAGTTGGCTGAACGTTCTCACAAACATATTAGAACTGCCTAATAAAATAGTTACGGTAGAATGACTGCTTAGGTGGAACTAAATTATTGTGTTGGCATATTACTATTAATATTTATGTCGAGTTGGTTGTAACGTCAACAAATTAGATAAAATAAGCGTGAAGTGACCGGTGGCTCCGTCTAGTAGAAATATAAGTTATTGACTACATGTATGTTATGATCCTTTGTGTTGATTTAGTTGCTTCTAAAATGTGTGCTATATTATCCTGAAATTAAATCTAACAAACCATAACTCGACTCATGATATCAGCTTTTTTAGTTATGAAATTAGTTATTTTCCTTCCTCTTCTATGCCATCTCCATATTGTAATATATAAATAGGCGAGTATGAATGGATTTCAATTGTACTAGTTATTAACACTTATATGTAGACCAAGTCTTGTAAGTTGTATTAACAGAAACTCTATTTTGCAGGCTTTACGTTAGCCATTGGGGTGACATCTGTAATCACAAACGCCCTAAAAGTGTGTGTGGGTCGGTAAGTGTATACCATACTCGAAGCGTAGCACTAGTTTTCCTCATTATTTCTGTATAGTCGATCGAAATGGGTACGATACCATATACTATATAAGCTTTTCAAAAATCTCGAAAATATATAAAAGACCCGCTAATCTTGCAATTCAATATGATAACACTTCACAGAGGTAACAACGTGAGACATTAGAGTTAACCATTTTTGTTTTCTCGTAGTTTCAAATGTTTATAATCTTGATCCCTATATGACTGTAAAGTCACACTTAGATTGGTTAGTTATTGAGATTGCACAAATCTATTCATAGCGGAATTCATTTAGATATGTGATTTATCTCTAGGAAGGCTTAAGGTAACACCTCAATCTTGAAACCTTACCTGATGACGATTTTATAGTTATTTCTAACATGAATTGCCACATCTGTACTGAAATCCACCTAAAATACATATTTGCCTGGGAAGCGATCTTCGTCAGCTAGTGATAATACTTAGGCTGCTTCATAAAGTTACAGCAGCAACACTTACGCGAAACGTAAAACACATTTTATGAACTATTAAAAGCGACTCTTAAGTCATCATAAAAAATTTGGACACTCGCTTTTAATAAAAACAGTAATAATAACTACAGACCGGACTAAATAAAAGGGATTTCTTTAATGACAAACGTCGGAACACGCAACACCTTTTCGATGTTTACCGAGTAGTTTTGTAAGTATATGGATAGCACTATTGTTGTGAACGATATCTACATCACATAAGTGGCATCGCATATACTTACAAGCTCTTGGTGGAAAGACGTAAGCAACGTAAAACGATAAATCCCTTATAGGGTACAAAAAATAATATGTAAAATCTAAAGATAACTGTATTTGTATAATATTCAACAAAATATAGGCAAATATAGATTGGAAAGTGAATCCAGGACTTTCTTGCTTGATGAACAAACGTTTTAAGAACTGGACTTTAAAAAAAAAGTTTGTATGCTCAATTTTTAGTTTGCGCTGGTCAATTATTAAAGCCGAAGTTTTAAAAAACGGTCGCATTTTTACAATTTTCTCTTTAACAGACCTAGGCCCGACTTTTTCTATCGGTGCTTTCCATCGGGGGAAGGAGACTTCAATCGGCCATGCACCGGACCTGTATCCGTTGTTGGCGAAGGTCGAAAGAGCTTCCCTTCAGGTCATTCGTCCCTTGCATTTTCTTCATACATGTTTTTAGCACTTTATCTCCTAGCTAAACTGCAAGCTCTGAATTCAACAGCCCATCGCTTCAGAACACATCGGACGCTTCTTGGAATATCTCCACTTCTATTGGCACTACTGATAGCCATTAGCAGAACATGTGACTACCATCATCATTGGCAAGGTTATTAGACACACCCGAATCGTCTACTAATTGTTGTTTACTAAATACTTATAGAGCAAATATACATTTAAAAATTGGAGTATAGGGCAGTCGTTCACAATAAGGTATATAGCTATACTATTTTCGTATTGTCAATTAATCCCAAAAGAGGCTGGACTTTGTTTTATTAAAAAAGCAGTTTGATTATTTATTTTATATGCGTTTACTAATAATTTAATCTATAATAAAAATTATTATAATAATCATAGAGTACCACACGTTTTTCTGCTAAATGTGGGCTATCATATTGTCCAATTAAATTAGCATCAGAGTTGTTTGTTCTGCTTTTTTTTGTAGATGTTACTGTTGGCGCCATTTTAGGCTGCACGGTTGGATACGTTTGCTATAGGCAGCAATATCCATCGATATTTGAACAGGACGCTTCTCTTCCACTAGCAGAATTTCCTGTCTATGGACCTGACCTGGCTGTCGAGAACAATAACTTTGATGGCCACGGCTTTCCCAGCGGATTTTCGCTTCATAAACAAAACGCCAAATTGATCTAAAAAGGACAGAAATACCCGAAATACGAAGCAGGTTTCTTGCGACGTGCGACGTCATATAAATCTGAATCGAATGAGACTTACTTTAATTTCCTACTGTATTTATGAGTGTGCCTAACACTGGATGTTAGCAGGACGTAGCACTAAAGACGTGTTTCGCTATGCCTGTCGAATACCTAATGTACCTTAATGTATTAGTTTAAATGTTAAAAATACACTGAAGTAACCTAGGGCGATTCAGGTCTAATATTTAAGAGTATAAAATTTATTGTATGCGGGTAAATAACCTCCCGTCATTTTAATGTGGATTTTTGACGAGGCACCATATGGATGAACATTCATTTGAATTTTCCAATTATGTAAAATGTCACTTATCACAAGTGGCCGCCTGTAGAACTCGAAGAGCTTTAGCAAAAAATATTTTAGTGTATATTAAAACCTGATAAACAGCGTCCATATTAAGAAAATTTAATCAGCTGTCGTGCGTATGGATGAGCTAGATTGAACGTATGATATTTACTACAATATTCGTAGAAATAAATAGCGGATACCTTTTTATTCGCGATAACCAGAGCAGAGGTCTTTGTTAAGTTGTTGTTTGCTTTCTTGCGTGAACTCTGATTATTAGGTATATATAAATCCATTATATGAAATTCAGGCATTATAAAAACATTCGGTTTGTACCCTCATGAAACCCATTACGTGTTAATTCTTTTTTACCGGTATATTATTTTGTGGTTACACAAGGTTGCAATTTTAGAAATCAGATGATTAGATTTTACTCAGCCGCTTTACGTCAATATCTATATATGTAGGCCAACATAATGAATTTGAATGCCGTAATTGTTTCCTAGACGAACGATTCCGGCGAGAGTCTGGGGCCATTATTGACAAACCCTACGTCCAATAATGCTGTACCTTAAAAACCCATAATGCATCTTTAAAGAGCAGTGCAAAGCCACTTGGTCCAACGCAAGTGACGTTAATTCTCTCGGACGGGAGTTTTTCGAGCACAACATCATTTCAACTTCGCTACGAAGCCAATGCGAAAGAAGCGAATGATATATCTACAACAAAAGCGCCACGACAAGTTTGGAAATTGATCAAATTCGACTGTTCTAATTAAAGTGGCGTTACGTTCTAGAACAACGAACAGAAGTAAGACATTTTGTTCCTGTTCCTGAATCAGTTTTTTATGAAACTCTAACGCCAAGGTCATGGAAGGCATTTAGGTTAAAGTTCTTCTCAGCTCATCGGTCCAAAAATAGTTTGATCATTAAGTCGGGTAGAATAATTACTGAGCTTGTATCCATTTTGCATGGTAAATTTTAGATATAGCTAGTTGCCGTATAAGCCAAGCTAATTTTATCAATGAGATACTCAGGCTTCTTTACCATTCTAAAAGTTGCCCAAATTTTAGTTGACTAGGGTTAGTTATAGTTTTCACGTCTTAGTTCTTTTGATCCAAAAAAATCTGCCCTGATGTTGTGAATTTGTATTAAGTCTATATAAATGTAAGTCTATATAAAAACCATAAACAAGGCTCCGATTGTGTATATTGATGTTGTTCTAAGGCGTTCATCATTACTGGCTAGTATTAAATTAATGTTACTCTAAGAATGATTTTAAAATATTTGTCCATTCGGTTGCTCAGATTCTTGACCAAGAGAAAATTCAAAGTCAAAGCAAAAATGATTTCCTGTATAGGTTTGTTTTTCATTTCGTCTGATCATTTTTAATTTTAAAGATCTTTTTTATGAGTACTGTGCCCAAATTTTATAATATGATAATTTCCAAATATACAGTGCAGTAGAATCGTTTTAGAGTACCGGTTTCGACTTATTTACTATTAATGGCAATCTTGCCCCCAGAAACAAGCGTATGCAAAATGCAAGCTTTCCTGTCAGTTTTTCTTTGACCTTGAACCAAGCATGGCCTATGTATTGAAGTGATCAACGTAGTTCTTGCTGTTTTTTTCGTTAGGAGGTGGATTATTACGTTGCTTTCCACGAGGGCGTTGTCGATTGCGTACACCCACAGCATTCCCATGTACGTAGCCTTCATCGTCCAATTCCTCTACTTGGCAGTATCGAGAATAATCTTTCTCGTGGACTCAGTTACAGATAAAACGCTGTTGGATCATTTGTGCTGTTCGGGCTCATAATCCGACTTCATGAACACAACAATATTTCATAAGCTAGGTAATGTAAATTTGATAGAAAATTTTCTAATAGTTGCTATTGTTGCAGTTTTTGCTGCTTACGGTCACTTTCGCAGTTCTCAATAATATTTGCTTCAATGACAGGACCATAAGTACTGTCCTAGCCGTTTGTACTAAGATCACGTTTATTAATTCTTTATGCTCTTCTCTGCCAACAAGAAAAGTATAACGTTTACCTTGCAGTGTAAATTTGATCAAATCCAGTGTCATGAACACATTATCTATATTCTGTCCAAACATCCTGCTTCAAATTTACCTTTCAGAGTGGTTGGTAAAACACTTTCCATATATTCTATATGGAACTACTATGTATGCGTTAATAACAAAAATGGTGAATATAATATTATTATGTCTTTACATGAATGAAGCACTTTATTTATAATATCGCATTATTGAGATCGTAATACACATGTCATAATGTGCTTCCAGCATCTTTCTGCCTTTTTGACGATTCCGTTGCTATTGTTTGCCCCACTTGAGACAAAATTGAGTAGTGCCATAAAGTTATTTAAGTAATTTGCATTGCCTCTTTTTGCATCCATTTGTCCTAATATAACTTCATACAAGCTTACTTTCTATTTTTCCTATCTACGCGCTATGACCTGTATTTTTGTCCAACGGCTACTATACATACGCATGGAAATCAAAAGACAAAAATGTATATATATATATATATATATATATATATATATATATGTGCTCACACTAATATAAAAGATCAGCAGGTGGTTAATTATACTGTGTTATTTTCGCTTAATTTCACTGATTGTGTTCGTTTTTCAAAACATGATGGCGCGAAAGCTGTCTGCTTTGTTGTCGCTTGTTTTGTATCCCGTGCGAGACGACTTATTTTCATATGGTGTATCAGAGCCGAGACGTTTTTGAACAAGTACTTTCAGTAACAGTTATACAAACAGGTGTTACAGTAATTATGTGCTTGATGTTTGTGTCAAAAGCGGTTATAGATAAATCGTTTCTCGATATAATCTTCCTATAATATTCTACTCATAGTTGGTCGTCGAGTCAAACATAAGTGTGTGTTCAACGTCTTCAAAACTCAATGGTTAGTTCAACAACGAAGAAGAGATGCCGAAATCGATATTTGTAATTTGGAAGTTGTGTCATGTATTTTTATTTAGGAATTGAAGAGAGGTAGACATTCGTTAGTCAATCACGTATTGCATATTTTTGAATTATAATGCAATCTATCTAAAAGTTGCAACGGAATTATCATTATATTCATCTCAATTGGCAGGTAGCAGTAAACTGGATGAAGATAAATATATCGACCAGATCATCTCTGAGTCGGGTTGTGAGAATCTCTAACGGTAGTTTCAGTAGCAAACACGCACGCCATAACAGCACAACCAATTAAGAGTTGAGCTAATTAAGCTACCAAATTAAAAAATTCGTTTTTATTGGAAAGTATTTTCTTTTAATTAGTCAATATGCAAGTTTTACACTAGTAAATTTAAAGATGAACCCCACCGCTTTATTGCGCAGATATTGATGTGCATAGCGAATATAAAACCCAACCAACCGTGTGTACGTTTTATAGGACATGGCTGACTCTTCGATATCTGCCACGGGGCGCGGACTACCGACGTTCATGCTGGATCAAGAGCAACTGGTTGCCAAAGCGTTCGATAAATTGGGCCTTGGCAGTTTACCTAAAGAGTCTGTTCACAGAAATCCCTTACAGGCTATGGAATGTTTGGCTCGAATCTGTATAGCCATTATTGGTACGTTGATAGCCTATTTTTATATATTAGCTTTTCGGATTTTATTAATTTGAACGGAAATGTGCTTGTTATGTTCCATATTATGGAAATATTTAGAAAAAAGGCTTCTTTAAGCTGGATGGACGATTTTACGGACCTACTCAAGCAATTGTTATAAATATTTTTTTGCCCCAATATCTTGTTTTTTAACGTATCTATTGTAGTAACTATTGTATTGTAGTAATTGTTAATAATATTTTTAAAATTTAATTCAATGCAAAGACAATTGTAGAAGTGTTGTGTGCATGGAACAAACATAGCTATCCAAAATATTAATATACAATTTCGTGTTTTTGTACCATATTTAGGGGAGCACTGTCAGGACATTATTGCAATTTCACAAGAGCGAAGCAAGTCGATTGAAGAAGAATTTGAATCAGATGCAGCTGAGAGGGAGATTGCAAATCTTGACACGAAGCTTGAGGCTCTAAGAAGTAAGTACAGACGCCTGCTGGCACAACGGGAAGTCCACAATGCAACTGACTTAGCATGTCAACGTGTTTCGGATGTTCTAAATCAAGCAGCACGATCGTTATTGAAGGCCGCCCCCCTTGTGGCTGTTGCGGGCTTCATGGAGGATCGTGTACGTGCATTACAGCGAATACCCATGCCTCAAACAACAAGGCAGAAATGCGGAGAACCACCCTCACTGTGTAGTACCGCGCAGGCGTTAGGGTGCATTGACGACGTGGCTCGGTTTTCAATTCAAGAAAGCACACGAAATTACGTTTATGACTACGCTGACGGTGAGAGAGCAATAGATTATGTATCAAAGGCCTTCACAGATTTTGCGGCACGTTTAAAAGAAGTCGATACACCCCAAGCAAATGCGAATCTAAGCACAACTTGTTTGAACGCTTTAGCGCATGCGCATTCAATTAAAAAGCTGACTAAAAAGATCACTGGCTTGGGCAACACTTGCGAGAACCTGACGCAGTCTGAGGTGGAAAACATTTTGAAGCAATGTCAGGAAATTATTAGGTCGAGGCTAAGCAAGCTGAAGGAAGCTAACGTTCAAGGGATACCCGAAGTAGATGATAGTTACGAGTTGATGACGCTCCGTGATAGACAGTCCGCAGCTATCACAGCCCTCGCCTCACAGATCAACGACAATGAAGCACTTGAAGAACAAATGCAGTTGCTACGCGATGAGCTGTATGTATCCCAGAAGCTGCGATCATTCGATTCTCTGCTTAATATGATGCGTTCACAAAAATCGTTGCTTCAGTCGACGAAGAATGATCGTACACTGGTTCCTCGTTCTTTCCGGCCTACGGTAAATCTGTTTGATTCGGCCCTCAGATCAATAAGTGAACTTAAACTGCTTTCCGAAACTATACGCGCATACGATTTGGAAGTACAACTTGAGTCGAACGATAATCGTGCTGTGCTTGAATATTTAGCGAGTCTGGAACGCTCGGTTGATACGTCGAAACTAACAGTTTCACCCCTAGCAACAAATACTGCTGAGAGTCTCCTTGAGGAACTTCAAAGTTTTAGCGTCCTCCGATTGGCTAAAGGAACTTCTGATCTATAGGGAAATCACGAGCGCAATCATCAACTGTAGCCAGTAGTTAAACATTCGGCTGGTGTATGGATTAATCATACTTTCCCGATTTATTTGTAAAGTATAACGTAATATGATACAAACAACCTATAAGCTCTATAGAAATACGGCCACATTTACTTCTTCGTAGGTGTCCAAATGTAGTTTTCATTGCTTCGAGTGCGTTTGGCACAAACTAGATAAGATAGCGCAATTTTTCCAAGAAACAACATATGTAAAAAAGTTTTGTTTTGTAGGAGCGACTTTGGCACGAACAGAAGCATTTTGAGGCATCAAATGATATTGCCTATGCTATTAGACTGTATCTTACAAATATAACCATTCTATTATTCAAGAAACCTGTAGACGCCTATTTTGTATATCTGATTGAACTCCTCGAATAAGTATTGACAGAAAATGGATACTTTACTATTTTCTCATATTTTGATGGTTATTATCAGTAATCAGCGCATTACTATTGGCGCGGTACAAAATGTCGGCATATTCTCATGTTATTTAAAAAAAAACATAATAATATGATTTAATCATTGCACAGCTCTTCATTTGTACATTGTGTATAACCACCTGCTCTACGTAAACTGCATGGTGTCCTATTTAAGGCGGAGTTCCTTAAAATTCATTTATTGTGTGTGGTATTAATAGGTCCTGATAGGGCACCAGTAGGTACTCACGTGTTATTTGCAGTAACCGAACAGCTAAATCAGGTAGTAAAAAACAGGTCGTGCTGGCACTTCGAAATAATATCAGTACGAAATACAAAATAATTAATCCTAGTGTCGAAGATCTTAAATAAATAGGCAGATAGACAAAGCGCTGTCTAATACAGAAGGTTCTGACAAATGATAAGTTTTACATTTTTATTTTATGAGAATAGTCAAAGCCGCAAAATCTGAACCCAAAAATAGCTATCGCAGTTATCCTATCGCGCGAGAATTCTTGTTCAGAGTTCAGATCGAAATTTGCAGTTATTGGTGTTAAGCGAGGCTAAGTTCCACGGAAATCTGTAATTATAATAATGCAAGAGAGATTCGCCCTGTTACAAAATGCGATTGGCCAGACCGTACACATTGTAGAGAAAGCAGTGCCCACAGCCTCTTCGACTTACCTGACTCCGGTAAGTCTACTTTTTAGGTTGTATGCGATCTGATTTGGGCCAACCACTTAGCCAGTGGCTAAGTTAACAAGCGAGCACCATACTATTTTTGCATTAACGCTGTGATATTTAAAAAAGAAATCCAATGATGAAGATAGAAATTTCATTGTAGAACAACAACAATGGCGAAGCTCAGCACACCTTTAACTATTCGAGCTTGAAAAATTGGAAGTTTTGTATTTTTAAATGGCCATCCAATTTTTTCCTTGTTTAGCTGGTCAGCTATTTTAACCTGCTTTTCTCTGTTTCCTTCCCAATAAAGTACATTTCTGGCCAGTTGTCCTCAATGCCACTGTTTAGCTCTCTTGCAGATGTATTAAGGGCATGCACGGAGACTGGCGCTCATCACTTCTGTGATGTTTCATTTAGTGATCTGGCACTTCGCTGGTTCCAACTCAGAACAACTCACCAAATTTGGAATATTTGGCTTTGCTGCTACAGTATACGTATATCGGCCTATTCTGCGTACCTAACTGCAAACTTCCCTGTCTTTGAACTGCATGATGTAGCATGTTAGTCTCTTGAAAATCAGCGATCCAGTAACAACTATCGAAATGACGTCTCTAACTACGACTCCCGCGCTGTATTGCTTCCTGTACTACTTCCCAGACAATTATAGTTAAATCTCTGAGCCCTACAGGTTTTTGTAACCTTCGTTGTTCAACCTTGAAGTTAAAAGGTATTGGTGCTATACTAGGGCCGTAAGAGTACTTAGTCGTGTATGCCTAGATCACTAGGAGTGTAGGGATACGCTGGGCTTTTCGCAGTAGTGCCCTGTTCTCTGTCACCGTTGACGCCGGCCGAAATCGGGTATATATAGGTAGGGTAACGGATTCAGCGAGTGACGTGAAAAATTTTCATCCACCTTCATTTGATCTAAAGATATTCGATGTTATCCTGGTGAGTTTTCCCGTCAAAAAGAGCCTAAACAATGTACACTTTTTTTTCCGATCAAAAGAGCCGTCGCATTTCATCGTCCCGCATTTCGGATAGCTTTAGTCTGCGTGTGTCTACTGAGGTAGCCAAGTCATCAGCGTATGCAATGAAGTCCGTATCTGGCGAAAAATCCCTGGCAATAAAAACATTGTAGTAGACGAGATTTTAAAATCGGAATGGAACTTTAAAAAGCCCCTGCAGTCAACCGCTCGGTCTAGGCAGTCTCATCCTGAAGATACCCAGGGGCAGCTCTAAGGAAGCTCTCTTTGCTTCAAGCGATTTCAAAATAGGCTCCACGGAGAGCTGTTAGAGCCATTTCGATATGTAATAAAATAATTTAAATTTTTAGTTTTCCACATGGAGACTTCGATCGTTTCCGCATTTGTAACAACGCGTTTATCGCTATTAAAATTTAGCAATGCTCTGGGAAACCATATCTTCCAGGTAACATGAGGTTGTGCTCCTCAGGACAGCCTCGGATTCACTTTTCGATAATGAGCTCCATTCTTTTACTTACGTTCCCATAAGACAAATTCATTTATAAGAGCCCCTTTTTTTCGAAATCAGTACAACTTCTGTTCCTTTTCAGATCCTCTTATGATAACATAAGCCATAAGAAAGGAATTTCTTTTAAAAAATCTCACAGTCGTCGCCAAAATGGTTGGCTTAAATATTTGTGCCGTTACGGTGTATCACCACAGCCAGAGTGTTGTGGGTAAGTGTTGGTGCCTGGATAAACATTAATCTATCAAAAGCTTGATGAATAGGTAACAGCTTTTTCATAATGTATTTCTTTTCGTCTGAGAGGATGACCTTCAGCTGAGTTTTCAGCTTTTTACGAATGATTCTGTCCAGGTGGGCCCGTGAATCTTCGTTAACTGTCTCTAAATTTTTTCCGGCAGATTTCTTTACTCCTTTGATCACAGACTCGAGGGCTGTGCGTCGTTTTTTGAGTTCTGTCACCGAAGCAACCAGTTTTTTGTGGCAGTACCTCCATGCGTTTGCTTGCATTATTTTTCGTCGTGTTCTAGTACATTTTTCTCTAATTTGTTCTCTAGGCTAAATTCGTTTCACTAGTATTAGGGCGAAATATGTTATTACCTTCTAAGATGGATGCTACAGCTTCGACACAAATTTTGCTAGAAGAATTTAAAGATCGGAAGCGCTTTGGGGTGACGTTTTTCTCGTAGCCCTTTTTAGGAGCCCTCCTGAGTGCGTCGCCGCTTCGTATATTGAGTCTCGGCAATTGCTCAAGGACTTTTGAGTTCGTAACTTATATATATAGAACTGATATATATAGAACAATATAGAACTGATTACCTTCGATGTTGAAAACTCGGTATTATGTTATCCTGCTAGGAAATGCGAAGCAGCGAACTACTAAGTTCTGAACTTCGAACTGCGATTCACATCTCCACCCCATCATCTTGTGCCCACTCGCTTTTTTCTTTGACTGGCGTCATGTTTGGTTCCCCTACGATATTTAGAACAATAGCCTTGTGGGATCTCAGATCCATTTGAGATTTAAATTCTTCTTCCTTCTTTATCGTCTTCAGGATTTAGGCCAAGCCTCCAGTGGCTTACCTTGCCAGGGTCGTTCTCATATTCTTTTTGAGCTGTTGAACCGTCTTCACTATGACATCATGTTTGATAGGATCAACCTTTTGTTCTAACCGCAGTGTGTTAGCGTAAAAGTTGCTTTTTCTTTTTGTGATAAGAATCACGTTATTGTTAGCTGTGTTTCGGTAGCCGTGTTTCTCTTCGGTTTATACGCAGTAATTAGCCCATCAAATTTCTTCGCAGCATAGCATGCTCTGGCATAGTCTGTGGATACCTGGATACTAATCTCTTTATTGTGCTTCCTTCCGTGTTGTTCCGCAGGATACTTTCCTTTTCAAGTCGCTTACGCAACCCCATGTCCGGCTGAGCAACCCATCTTTGGGTGTCTTCATCAACTAGTTTTATCTTTTTGCGTTGTATTTGGATTTTTTTTAATGATAAAATTCCGCATCTGTTTAGCCAGATTAGTAGCGTATGGACTATTACATAGCAGAAGCTGACCGTTTCTCGAATCTCTCCGGATACACCGACCGCGTCCGATTCCATCAAGCGGCTCGCAGCTCTCTCCTTCAGCCGTTCTTTCATTAGGAGGATTTACAAACACAGCACTGCGTTCCAGACTCAAGTCTACGTGTTTTGCTGGCTGATCGTTCTGCCCAGGTAGGTGCGTTGTCGACAGCTACAATTTTGTCTATCAGTTGGGTCCAATGATTACAGGCGACCCAAAAAGCAAAAATCTCCTCCGCAGTAACCACAGTTACATAACAGAGAGAAGGCTCTATACTGGTTGTTTTCGACAGCTTCAATCAAGGATCATATGTTACAACACCTTTCGTAGAGACACTCACAGAAGTTCCACCTTTCAAGAGTAGATAGCCAATTGCTCAACCGCTGTACAACTGTGGTAGCCTTGAAGCACACGTTTGCACAGGAAGTACAATGCAGTCATTGTGAAAAATGTCTTGATTGTCCCTGGCACCAAACGCACTTTACAGATAAAATAGGCTCGAGACAGTAAGGAAAATCTTGTGATTTTCTAAACAATCGTTTTGTTTGTCAGTTCCCGAAATATTATTTACTTCATGCAGCCATGCAAGTACTGCCGTTTTTGAAATTTTTTATTTATATTAAAGCAGTTGAGGGTCAGTTTAACTGCTGAGCACTCAATATGTGTCTGGCATTGTGGAATTCTTATTATTAAATCTGGACTTCGTATAATCGGTGCTCGGTTCGAAACTGATTCGAACATTGCTTCAAGTGCAATGATTATATACACAATATGCCTTGTGAGAGGATTCTAGTTTGGAGAACTTGGTATTCCTATCTGTTTTATTAATCTAGTTGGTTTCGAGCAGTCAGACGCCATTTTCCTCTTTGTGTATTCAGCTAATACAATTGGGAGAAAATTACATATACCCGATTGTTGAATCTGGATTATGATGCAACAATTTTGTCCGAACCGGTCTAAATCTATAAACTTTGGTTTTGTGTTGTACGACATTTCATATGGAGATTTGCTAGTGGATTCGGACACTAATGTACTGTGCAGCGGGCTGTTTCCGCGCACAAATTTCAGTTCATCAGGAGACTGTCAGCATAGATTTTGCTTATTTGGTTCTTGTCTCACTTAGGCGTTCGGCTACTCCGTTCTGAGAGGTGAAGTATGGTTAGGTAGTGATTAGTTTGGTTCTCACTTTTTTAATAAGGTTTTATGGCTAACTAACGAGGTTCCTCCGTCGCTGTCAAGCGCCTGGATGTAAATCAGCAGTCTGAATATTCGATCGAAGGAAATAAAATTTCACAAAACTTCGAGTGGCCATTCGTTAGACAAAAAAAGTATCTTGCATGTATGGATGATGTGTACTCGGGGCCACACAGATTATTATGAACAACTTGCCTCAAAAATTGGGCATGTTTCGGCTGGTGTGAAGTAGTAAAAGCTTTACTCTGCTTTTCCTGCATATAGGGATCACATTCGATAATGAAGTGGTCAAAAAAACGAAATCTGAAATTGTTTATTAGTGCGGGTCCAGGGCTATATGTAAAGATGCTTTAATCTGCAACTAATTAATCATGCACCCTGCAATATCTATCGCCATATCGGTCCTAAACACAAAGACGTTGCTTTTCTGGAAGTCTAAGGTGGTCCGCATATCATCGTTGTTTGTCCTAATTATCAGATAACGCCATAATGAAATTTAGGTCGTCCATAAACCAACTCATTGACAATATAGTACGTCGAATCCGAAGTACGTAGATAACAACCTCTGTTTTGATTGTTAGGGGGTGACCTTCATCTTGGACCTCGTAGTGGATGCTATCACAACCCACTGGCTGCAGTGTTGGACTTCCGTCAACTCTAACGGCCTGTTCTACTTCCGTTCTATGGAGCTCTTGCCTATGTTTTGTGTTTCACATCCGATATCGCCGTTAGACATTATCCCACACGGTTGGTTTCCACCGCAGAACGGAGTCTGTCTATGCACGGGTTCGAACCTAGATCACAACGTGTCCCCAAGGATAGCAGACAAATACGTTACCCACTAAGCTATCACGGAGATATGAACTCTGGCCTGTTGCTATGAAACATGAAATATTCTGGTTTGGTGTGGCCCCTTCTTTCGTAATTGCAAACTTTTTCTAATTTTTTTTGTTGGGAACTTTGGCTTACGCGGATTTTTGCTTTTTGATATTCATATTAATATAATATAATATATATATATATATGAGATTTTTGATAATTCAAGCGTCAAGCATCCAACTGGCGCTTTCACACGCTACAACACCTGTATTCTCAACGAGGGCACTTATTGGACAACTTAGCTAGGGGGCTAAGCTTCGCATTACCTTCGCACCGAAAGAAACTGAAAGTTGTTTTTACATTAAAGGAGAAGACCTCGGAAAGAGAGTGGCGCAAAAAAATAAGATACAATGCGAGCAATACTGACGTCGCACTCTCATCTCCGGTGCGACGACAAGAGATTCACACTTGTAAAACTCTATCATTGTGCGCGTGGAAGGTGCCGCATGGCTGCGTCGACAATACGCATTTGTCTTGGACGTCTAAAAAAAATTATGTTTTTGTTTATAATTTTCCATCGCCCACATTGTAGAAGACACGTTATGGTCCCCCATATCTATTTGGCATGCACAGTATAACAGTCCATGTTCGCACATATATGGCCACGTTCGCAATAAGTGCTTGAAAAAGTTCGCGGGAAAGGTGATGATGACTCACCATACGTGAGCACATGAATTAAGATGATATTAGAACTGCATTGAGCTTGCAAGACCTGCCTCGTATAATGCAAAATTTTGACGTAATGCTTAATCTGACTGAAATTCGTGTTCGCAACATAACGAAGTCGCATTAAATACGATCTACCATCTGTTAATATATTCTATTTTTATCTATGATAAATAAAGAGCGCTTAATGGACAGAAAATGTGGATCTGATTTGATCGATATGATATACAGCTTACTATTATACTGCCTTATTGACACCTTAACAACATTTAAATAGGTATCTTCTTCTTGCAGCCACCAAGTTACGTTTGAATGCATAGCCTCACCACTTCGTTAAAAGGCGCGATAAAGCGGTTAACTGGTGTTAGCTAACACAGCGGTAAACAACGTGCCATTGATTTTTAGCACTGTTAAACGTGTGACTACCAATTTTGCCCTACGCACGTAGACTAAAGTAAGAGACCCAACGGAAAGCTGCTCATGGACAAATTTGTGGGTATTTATCTAACTAACGGCATATTGGTATGCATGGATCATACTGCATAAATATTTAACTAGTGTAGTTTAGAAGAGTCCCAAAAATGTGACATTTGTGGGTTTTTGACATACGGGTTGTTTAAACGAACAGTGGCACGTTGATGTTGTATTACTTACAGCACATTTTTTAGTTCTGATATCGTTTGAAGAGGGTTTTTGACAAAGTTCGGTTCTAGGGCCCGAATCAGAACGATACCTTTTAAATTTATATGTATCTGTTATGCATAAATATTTGTCGTATTTATTATGAACGAGAAAAACAAAAGTATGAATCGGCTGACTCGTCTATTAGTGATTTGTAAGTGTTATTGATGGAGCACTATAATGCGGGAAAAGAATCAGTTGAAACTAGCAAGACATCTTAAAATCAATAGCTCTACCGTGTGTGCGCACCCCATGCGCATTTTTGTAGTTCCAAATATATTGTAGCTTCGGTTGGAAAAAGTTGTAATATTACTTTCAACTTATTTATTATCTTTTCAAATACAGCAACATTGAAAGGATGTGTTCTCATATGGTACATATATCACTGATAGCAAGCATCGTCCTCTTGGACTTTTATCACAATACCTTTTTTTCAGTTTTATTGTTTTATTGTTTCAAGTAGACGTTGAAAAAGCACTTTTCGTTTCTGTACTCTAAATTGTTCCTATAAAATTAAACAGTAATAATCAATTACTATGTGACAACAGTTCATGAACAACCAACCATTTTATTGATTACCCCTCTGTTTTTTACTCCCTTTTTTGGGAGCGTTAAATTTAATTATGTTCCTATGTGCTTTAAGAGTAGCGGCCTTCTTTACCACTTTTCCTTTTTTAAGCTTCTTGCCTTTCGGTTTTCGTTTCCCAAAAAGCTGAAAATGCCGTTTTCTTTCCCAGTCCAGTTGTTTGGCGTCCGATACCTGTCAACAAATAACAGTACATAATATGATTATTTTATCATTAGGATTGTTCTTGTAATCGGACACACATTTCCACCAAAACGACCTGTCAACGACGTAAGTGGCTTTGGAAAATATTCAATGTAACTAACCTTTCCTGCTGCGGTTTTTGCGGAAAGGGCGTGAAGCGAACCACTGCCATCTAAGCCGCGATTGCTATCCAGCATACTTTGGAACCTATCCGTTGACGCTGTCAGTTCACTAACTTTAAACTTCTTTAGTTTTACGTTCAACGGAAGAGAAAATCCAGGCAATCCTTTAATCGTCGGTTTTGGTTTGAAACCTAAAATGTTGTTAAATAAAAAACAAAAAAAAAACCTATTTTTATACAACTAAATACCAGTAGGTAGCAGCCATGAAGTAAAATTTCTTCGTGATTTATATTAGAGCCCGTGTAATTCAAATATGATATACTGACAATATTGGTATTGTACGATTTTCGATAAAGAAAAGGATTTCTGTCCCTTGAAAAAATTCACCAGAAGCTGGTTCATTAAAATCGTCGTCCACCTCAATGGCTCCATTACCCTTATATCCTTCCTCTTCTTGCTCATCGTCTGCCTCAAACTCGTTGTCTGCGTCCGTCCCACCCAGATGGTTTACAGAACAAAGTGTTTTATCATCAGGACATTTGTCATCTTCATTTTTGTCACCAGTATCTTCTTCGTTGCCATAAACACTCTCAGCATCCATTCCTTCTTCCAATTCGTATTCGTCGCTGTTTCCTCCGTCGTATTCATCGTCACTCTTACTATCAGCATTCTCGTTTTCCTTGAGCTTCGCACGTCCATCCTTAAACTCCGAGTAGAAATCCCCGTTTTCACTGTCCATGTCCACCTATGTGAGAGAGAGACAAAAGATGTAAAACCGGAAGAGTCAGTAGACTGTTATCTTCTTTTTTTTATTATTGTTTGATTAGCAATCATTATTTTAGGGTAAGAATAGATGTGTTTAAAAAACGACAGTTCTCTCGTTCCTCCAGCTACGTTTGCAGCGGTGGATGTCGTATAGTGAACTCACGTGATTGTTAATATCGCCGAGAAACTCATCCGCCTCGTCTGAGTCTAGATCTTCAACGTCTTCATCCTTGACTCGGGCATTAATTCCTGTTCCATCCGTACGACGACCACTCTCTACAAAATACCTGAACAAGAAGGCTTCATCGACTGGAATAGCATTCTCATGTTTGGTCATGTACATCGCGGAGCCTACAGGTATGCTGCGAACACCCTTTGGCGCATAATGGTGCGATCGGCCGAATATTTTGTCGTGAGCCTGCGCACCCAAAGATATGAAACCATAAATTGTTTAGAATCTTATAGGTATCGAAGAAGTTCTTATGAGAAAAAAATTTCGATGCGACGCACAGAGATATAGCACACTTTTCATGGGAATAATGGACCTGCATAATTATGCAATAATGGTTCACCTTTACGGCAAAATCAAGGGACTAGCTAAGCTATTTGATTAAAGCAGTTCACGAATGTGGAGAAGATCAATAATACTGTATGAAAATAAGCTATCCATTTCTGCTAGGACATAGCCCTACTCGCATAAGAATTACAACGCAAAGTGCGTCTAATTTAGAGTTATCACCTAAGCAGCTTGTATGAGGCTATCTTACGTCATAGTCGAAGTTCACAATACACCATACTAAAAAATTAAAAAATGAGAGGAACTTAAAGGGTATAGGGGACATACCTCATTACTTTGAGCTTTTGGATTTCTGTAGACAAATCGGTCAAGAAAATGCATTGTCGTAAAGTCTTTAAGCGGGTCACCGAAGTACTGGACTCCGCTCTTAGTTCGATGGAGTATTTCAGTGGCAAAAAGAGCCACCGAGGGATGGAAGTGCCTCGAAAGAGCGAGTAACTCGTAGCACAATGTGGTTCTAGCATGTGCTTTCAGCGGATTATCGGTGTGCGGATCGTAAATAAGAATGGCATCAGATTTAACATCACTGTTGTCGGCTTTCAGCGGCTTAGTGTATTTTCCGTCTGCGGTTGCACCAGCGAGACTTCCGGGCTTTGTTGGAACCTGAATAGCTTGTGGATAGTTAAGCAGAAGCTGAGGACGCTCCTTCAGAACGTGGGCGATAATAAGTAGCATTGAGCATGCCAAATTGGGTGGGTACGTTAAGCAAAGCTGCAAATATTGAGAAAAATCGTTGGCACTTTTTGTAATATGTATACATATTTATATATATTCAACAGCGGTATTATTGATATCGACCGTCTAGTATATCAAAAGAGCTGACATAGAACAATTTTACGAACCTGTAGCATTCTTTTGATGAAAGCTGTCACCCGAGATGTATCTTTATCTGCTCTCACAGCCTTGTAAATGAGGTTAAACATCATTAACTGGTGATGTGTCATTACCATATTTGGGTCCTGAATTTTTTTATAGAGCGCGCTGTAGAAACGTGCCGTTAGGCCGGAGTTCTTCTTTGTCAGCACCTGTCAAAATCCCGGTATGATAGAACTAGCTAGACGACATGAATCTGTGGTATACTGTACATTTGTATGATAGTAGTCTTCTAGCCCAGTTCTAAACTTCATATAGGGAATATTAGAAACAAACCTGAAAAAGAAGCGTAAGGCATTGGATGGCGATGGAAAGTGTTGACATATATATGAGTCGAAACAGGACGTCTTCATTTTCGCGTGAAATAAGTTCCTCATTCGTAGAGCAAAACGGGAACGCGCGATTTACACCGGTCAACAGAACAGCCATCAGTTTCGTGTCTGCTTCACCGGCGGCAACGCAGATCTTGAAAAAGTTAAGGTAGATGTGTACAAGCTTTAATGCTAGCTCGTATTCGTCATTTGTCAGCACAATCGTTGATAAATAGCAAAGCGCATAGTATTGTGCTTTAGGGGCAATGTTCTTGCGGAACAGCAGTGATTCCACCTCAGAGAGTACAATAGGCTTCATGGCCGAATGCTTCGCTGTTAGTTCTGATAATAAGTGGGCTGTTTTGGCAGCAATTTTACGCATGGGATCCCCGAATTTGTTGACTAAGCGGGTCAGAAGAAACTGTTCCTGTTCAGGATGCTCGGCCAGCAGCCTAGATAGACAGACGAAACATTGTTATTAAATATAATTGTGCAAACAAATTCGTTTAATAGGTAATAGATTAATCAATGATGTAGTAACTGGTTCTTCTAACATCTTCTAAAGATATTTTGTTTTTTTTTCGTGTAATTTAACTCGCTTGTAGAAAAATAAAGATTTTAAAGATCAAAGATAAAAAGTGTTCTATTTCGAGACTTGGTAAAAAGAAACATAGATTGAAAACTTTTTTCAGCACGTTACGAAAAATGAATTCGCTTTTTAAAATAATTACTTTCATCTACGAGCAGCTTTAAAATTACTAAAACCTACTTACATGTAAAGTGTTTTAACAGCTTTTGACTTTGACGTCTCCGTTTTATCGTAGCTTAACTTCTCAATATTTTCTAGAAAACGCATGTACTTTGTTTTAAGCTGACTTTCAAAGTACCATACAAGGCATTTAGTCTGGTCAGCCCGTTTATTCATATCAAGCTTCTGCAGAGGTCGGAAATTGAACGAGACTAGTTTTCGCGACGGAGGAAGCAGGTAGTGCACAAAGAGATCCGTGAGAGCATCTTGAATAGACAGATATATAAGAACCAAGTCGTTTGTATCATTGCAACTAGTAACAACCGAGACTATATATTTGAGTCATTTTTTTTACCGTTTTAGAGACCTAACCTAGTATTTACGGATAAAGCAATGATAATAGCTGAAAATGTCGCAGATATTTTGGCCAACCACCAGTAGTAATCTTTGCTAAAACGGTAGATGGAAAACGTTTGAAAAAAATACGAGCAAGAGTTCGGAAAAGACTAACTAACCAATTGCGATAAAACATTCTCGTTTTCCTTTTGGGGACACCCATTGAATGAGAATATCTAAGATCTCGAGGTTATGAACGGGTGAATCCTGCAATAAAAGTGAGAAGGCAGCAGCTCGATCCCGAAGCGAACCCTTCCTCCGAACCATATCGACCCAGCGAAAGTCATTCCATGACGGCGACTGCTCCTTATCTAAAAAGTTATATTAAAATACTCCGATTAATCGTATATTTCTAATTATAACCCAATAGACAAACATTCGTACAACTGACAATACAAGATGACCACAGAGATCAAATTGGTAATATAAACTAGAGAATTTTTCCGAAAAACTGCTTTGTTCCTGTTGCGAACTTTATTATGATGTTGGGCTCGAAGACCGTCTAAGCACTCTTAAGTTCTTCTGCATCTTATTCTTTTATACAAAGTGCCTTTTCGCATAATATGGTTGGGTATATTAAGGTTGGGTTTCGTCGAAATCATTATTATTGTTATTAAAATATCATTATTACTATTTTTGTCACCTATTTACTTTTTATCATAAAACGTGTGTTGTATCATATGGAAAATAACGAATATTTTATTTCGTATTGTGTTTTTATTATTATATGGACAATAATCTTTATAACAAAGACTTGTTACTTTAATTGAAAAGAATCCTTTATACATACAAATTTATGAGAACTACATTACCTTGTTATAAAATAGCATGGATTACAGTATTTATCCAGAAATTTAAACGCAATTAGTTGTGGCACTGATATTTTAATTAATCAGTGTATGCTTTGCGCAAAAATAAATAAATCTTTACATTTCAAAATGAGTTTGCATGCTGAATCTCTTCAAGCCTTATTACTTTTTCCATTATTTGACGACAAGGGTGATAGTCTGATTTGGCGAATAACTCTGTATTATTACACTGTTTATACTTACATGTTTTATAATGCTGAATATCATCCTTAAGTAGTTGATCTTGACATTGCTGTGATAGCTTGTGAACAAGTTGTTCTGCTACGTTACATCGTTCAGGATTCGAAACTTGCTCGAACCAACATGTCCCTGGCTTCACAAGTAACTTATTCATTGTTCCCTGTCATTGACTGTAATAAAAAAAAAAAAGTATTTTAAAAGACAATTAAACTGACAGTGACTACTTTAATCCGAGTTCGTTCATGCCGATGATTTCCTGAAGACCAAACAGAAAAATGTGATTGTACTAAAAGAATAATCTGTTTCTCTCTTATCTGATTTTGGAACGAGGACTATGCAACTGTTGGTTCACACATTTTATCTACAAGAGGCAGACCCAACGGCTGACGTTGTTGGCGCTGAACACCAGTATAAAGGTTTTTTTTTCAAATCATAAATTATCTGTTCTTCTGAAAAGTGATGAAATGTTCTAGCATAAAGATGTACCATCGAAGATAGGTGCCTGACTATTATCACTGATACGTTTACAGCACGCTCGCTAAAGTGCTCTGTTGATAACGTTAAGCGACAGTGACAAGTATTCCTATACTAGTTTAATCTAAAATAGTTTTCAAAGCAGTCAATTGGCAATATTTAGTTAAAAACATGACATCATAAGTGGTTATGCAAAATTTTTAAACTTGTTTTTACCAACATTCAGGCGTCCACATTTAAGCTCGCCTGGCATTTTAAGTTGTTGGACTTTGTGTTACGTCTTTAAGATGTTGCGGACCCTAAAAACCTACGAATAAGAACAACTTTCTAATCATTTAAACAAACTGACTGTCTTTGTCAGTAAAAAAGCTGCAAAACGCTTATCCTATTTTTTATATGATTTAGGTTTTTTTTTAGGCATTTTGGTTTACGTTGTTTTTGTCTAACGAATTAAACTATTGTACCTCGAAAAAATCGGTAAAAATACCATCAGTATAATGAATGCTACGAACTTTCATGGCTGTAATTTAAGAAAAGCGAAGAATACTCAAATTACCTAAATAGCGTGATAAAAATCAGTATTAAATTTCAGTTAGGCAAGTTATTTTTAAGTCTTCATCCGAAAATTATCTCGACTCAGTTGGCTTTGTTCTATGCATAGGAGCATTCCTCATTGTCACATTACAGGTAGACGACAGTGATCAAGTCGTGGGCTACATCTTTTTCTGTAGAGCTTACCTTAGGGCGCTCTGAGATAAAGAAGATAGAATATTACTTATCGCTAATAGTTATACCAGTTCAACTGGACTTCGTCTCACTCGGTATTAATTCACTTTTACTACTGATACTAATACACTACAATTCTGAACAGTCTTCAGATTTCACGTGCATTTGTTGACATTCACGGAGCATTACCGTTTTCCCTTCATAGATAATGTGTTCATATTGCAGTTCCCCCTTTCTAAACGAATGGATGCATGGTGAAGGCAAAAACACAAGCTCATTTTGCGCGCACTTACTCCGGGCTATTATGAACGTTGCTGAACCAATTTTCCCTACCCAGAATTCTGCATTCCATTTAGTATTTGGGTACATTAAGGTGATATGCTTTCGCAAAACATATGTTAATAAATGGCCGTAGTACAGCAAGTGGCTGGACATACATGTAAAGATAGATGTAAGTGTTGGATTTAATCTATGTACTTCTGAGACGAAATTTCATATCGATATATAATTACTGTACGATTGAAAGTGACTTACACCTTAAATCAAAGCTATTCTGTTATTTTAAATGGGAAAGAGTTTGTATATGTTAGGCCAATGAGTAACTTTTTGTGGCTGGTATTTTTAACCGTTGCCGTTTCCATTTATTCGGTAATTAGCGGCCAAGTATCTTAACATACGTTAGTGGAAAATTTTGTTGTCTAAGTCCGCTGTCACCGATTTGACCGAATTCCAAAATTTTTTCTCAGCATTGAATTTTTAAATGGATCTTCGATTTTTCCAAATGGTGCAATAACAACACGTCATAAAATAAAAATTATGACGTGTTAAACTCTTAAGAGTATGATATACGGATTAATAGATAAAAAAAAAATAACCAAAACGCTTTATAAGAACAATGAAAACAAAAAATTTGGTAAATGACTGAAGGATAACGAATAAAGTTTTGATCTTTTATGCCTATTTGTGGTTGAATAATATTATACATTTTCGTTGCTACCTTTTATTCATTTGTATGGCTATTTTTTTAAATTTATCCTAGCTGTTATTTTATCCTTTAATTAGCTTCGATCTGCCATGTTACATTCTTATCGTTTTCAAAATCTCAAACATGGCTTATATATCATGAAGTATGAAAATTACCATCTCTTAAAAATTTTGATGTCTGCTTCTGGACCCGAACTGAAGATACAACCTTTAATTTGGAAGCGATAACAACAGGCTTTTAAGAGAAGCAAAAGCGTTTTTTAAGATGTGTCATATTTCTAAACTATAAACTGTAAAAAGGAATACGAAGTTTGCTAGAGGGTGCGTTTTTGGCAGTTTTCTCGACAACAGTTAGAATTTTTTGGGGCGAATTCGTTTCCGAATGCCCCTGTTTTCGATTGCCCCCTTTTGACCCTTGGAGGTTGGATACAGAAGTAATGAACGAAAAATAAGATTTTGCTCATTTTTGCTGTGAATCGAGTAGAACGCGGCTAAAAATAGCTACAAAAAAATGGGTGCTTTCATATTGATAACTTATGTAACTTCGCAAAACGACAAATATTCGCATGGAACTGTAAAATTGAAAAACAGATTTCATCTCAGAATAACCAAATAACTGCAAGGGAGTAACGGAAATAAGTCAATATGATTACGGATTATAGTACCACGGTGATGGGTTAACTGTGACGGAATTATTTTGACAATGTTGCAGGAATTCGATATCACTAGAGAAAAGCAAAAGACAATCTAATCTAAATCAGGGTTTTGAATTTATTACCGGAACAGCGTAACGGAATGGAGTACTAGTAACGGAAGCAGATAAAGTGATAGCAATTGAGGAAATAAAGTGTCGGAATGACGAATACAGTGCAGCGGATTATGTTAGACCTACAATACGATAATATGTTATATAGGACTAAGCACCCTTCACCTCAAATATCCCCATTAAATTTCTGATATTATGCGGTAAATAGCATTCAGAACTGCAGTATGATAACCAGCCGAACTGCAAACGATGGGGTGGCGTGGTAGGTTAACAGAAAGACTGCACCAAGTTTAAATTTGTCTTCACTCCGAGTAAGTTCGAACTCGCTCCGGAGAGAGTAATGTTAGGTAGGGTACAGTCTGTGGGAGCGTGTACAAGAAAAGCGTGTATAGGTATACATGCCTGGGTGTTCATAAACACTAATTGTTGAACCCTGTTCGCTACCACAAATGTCCTGGTTAATTTACTATTACGCACACAGTAGTTAAAGCCAAACATCTGCAAAATCTTGCCTAGAGAATTAACCTGATTCTAAATTACCTGCTTTTTCATATCAGTATTCTTTGTTCATGAATGGTTAAATCCGTTTTAGTATGTTGCGAAGCTAACACTAGTCTGGCAGAAATTTGTAAACAAAGTGTCCTAATTCGGAGACCTTATATTTGCTCTAAATGTTACTAAGCTACGGACGCGAGGTCCATACAATTCGGGTGCAATATGATTGCCCTGAACTTCACCGTTCAAGATGCTGTCCTATTGCACTGAGAGCAAAAAATTATCTCTCTTCCTCTATCTCTTTTTTTTCCTGAATAAATCTATGTGAGTTCCTTTTAACTATACACCTGAGAAGAAGACAAAACTCAAGCAAGGATTCGTTTATCCGATAAAACGTGTGGCGCCCTCTGGGTGAGGAAATGACAGCCGGGGAAAGATCAGTAGGAGCGAGGGCTCTCGTGGCGCCGTTTGGACAAGAGTCGCTAGTTGGTTGCTCGCTCGGTGTTCATCATCGCTTGACTGATTCGCTGGCAGGTTTCGCTGCTGCAGTTGACACTGTATTCAGTCTGAGCAGTGAATGAGCGTTGGTAGATACTTGCCAGTTGCTCACCTATTCCTTTACTGATTGACTGACTGCCTATGTGGTGCTTATATACCCGCCGACATCAGCCCCCGTTACTGAAAGGTGGCGCGATTGTGAGGTCTGTCGTCAGTCTAGGAGACAGATAGACAGGGACATTCCTGCTGGGGCTATTGTAAGTACTTGCCTGTAGGGATTGCTTTTCTCTTCGGCGAATTCCTCCCGAACAGTGATTGTGCGAGATAGAATCTCTGTAAGCCATCATCGTCAGGATCAGTTGTCAGCTTGACACACAGATGTGGTATTGAAGTCGTGTGAGCTCTACTGTACTGTGCATGTCCTTGTCTGTGTTAACTTGGAAACATTGCCAAAGTGACGGCTGTTATCGTAGTTGGCAACCTAAAAAGGTTAATATCCTTTTCATCTTTTAGACGGAGCAGCCCATATGCGGGCCGGCTGGTTAGTTGTGTAGGTATCTGTACATACATAAAACATCGACTGACAGAAGTGAGGCATAGCTGGATTTTAAACACTGGATGATACAGACGACGGTGATGACAACGACAACAACGAAATCAAATATTTTATTAACGGTCCCGCATCGCCAAGCGATGCGTTCATTTAATGGTATAGAAATTAAAGCGTCCAGCAACTACAAATATTGACTAATATATAAAGTGCTCTCGATGTGGCAGTGTCTTGCAACGTCTGGACAACTAATAAAAAAAAATCTCATCTAAAGACTGCCAAAGTGCTGTTGTATAATAATAAAGTAGTCCGAGCAGGATCTGGCCTGCGTCGGTTCGTCAGTTGCTATAAATAGATTCAAGTGCCGTTATGGCTTGAGACTAGCATTTGGTGTGATTGTTGTATTGTATTGTACAACATTACCTTGCAAGTTGTGGTGACAGCGTGACAAATGTCATATATATGAGTTTTTTCTTATGTTAACATTACACTTAGCCATGGTACTTGCTTATTAGTGTTGATCGACCACTTTAGCGCTAGCGTACAATCAATACATTTACCTTAAAGCAAAGCGCTGTAACTAGCTCCGGTAACCGAAATTAATATAACCGTAGTTTTTCGATATCGTGACAATAGTACAGGTCATACATTCATGATCGGCACTGTCGCTTGACATGGAAGAGCTAATAATGATTGTCCAGTTTTGAGAAGATATTTATAATACAAGTTGCGACTGAGATTTGTCGGCCCTTTGGCTTCTAAAGCTTGAACTGAAACCCGCATCGCGTACCCGTACAACAAAAGCCTTTGCAGGCATTGCACAGCTCTATGAGCATTTATGACACTACCGATCAGCTTTCAAAACGTACTAGATGATACTATGTATTATCCATTCGACATTCATCTAATATATATCGCATCTTTGCTTGATCCAACGTCCATGCTTTTTTACTATAGCTAGAAAATCGCTTAGTCTTGTTCTTCTTGTTTATCTGGTATTTATCTATGCGGTATATGATCTGTTTTTGAAATTGCCCTTTTCACGTGATTTTTGTGTAGAATTTGCTAAAAATGTACTAGACTGTAGCCGGCGGACTTTGCCTCGCGCCTATTTTGTTATTAAATATACGTTGAGCATAGTTTTCCCATACAATATTACTGATTTGCACAGAAACAAACATTTGTACCTTGTACGATGTATCAGGGCTTTAAAATACATTCTGATCTAGGTTAGAACCCGGGCATAGGTACACTTTGTTTCTTTCGTGCTGGCAGAAGCCAGACGTCTGATGAAATGCCTAATGGCAATCCCGGACGTAAAATTCGCACCATACCGAAGATGTATCAGCACGGACGATGCTAGTGGAAACCTTGCAGATGCTACTACGGCGATGGCGGTTGTCAAACATGGAAAACGATAACGAAGCTGTTGCTTACCACCAACTAAATAAACATTACGCTCTAGGACAGAAATGAAGTCTTTCTCTTGAGGGGGTAAAGTAACTGACCGATCGGCTCCATCTTCTGCCTCTGCAGTTTCGTCAAACTAGTGGGATTACCTTTCAGACAATAATACATTGGGATTCTTTTGTACATATATGACAGTGCTTCTCAGAACTGCAGCCAGCGTTTACTTTCATGGCTGGGCCGCACTATTTGTAACTGTCTGCAGCAGAATTCGCTAATACTAGTTAAGTACCGTCTTTTATTATTACTTTAACGTAACATCGACTGGACAGAGCTCTAGGCTGACGTCGTGTAAGTGCAAAGTTACAGCAGCCTCCTTTGCATCAAAAGATGGCATCGCTGGCAAAGCCATTATAACGAGACCATTTTGTCGCTTGCATCTTTCGTGTTTGTTTGTTTCTAAAGGTTAGAGTTATTTTAAGGGTATCAGACAATACACGTTTCCAACTGAGCGGATACGAACTTTTAATGCTAGGAGGAATAGACGCTTGAAGTTGGCGTAGAATTGCTTAATAGGAAAACCGTATGAACGAATTCCTATTTTATTGGAATTGCGAAATAATCAAGGATCTGTATTCGCTCAGTGCAACTGAACTTATTTCAAGCTGGGATGTCATGAAACTAAAATATATCTAATTAACAATATTCATTCTGTTACAGAAGGGATATGAGCAGTGCTGGCAACGAACAAATTGCGGCTGCGAACATGAAGAGGTCGCTGGTGGCTTTTGTAAAACGCCAAACCGGCCTCGATGTTGAAAGGTACAAGTTTGAGCTAGGTACTAGGGACAGACAAGAAAATATTTTTATCTGCCTTCCAATATAGCAGATTCAACATAGATGCGCTCAAAGCTTGGACGACTATACCTTTTTATGCTCACAACTCAGATTTATAACCAGAATCATTAAATATTTTGATTTTATCCAGAAATTGTACTGCAGTTACAAACGTACCCATAAATCGCACAAAGAGCGACCTTACTGAGATGAGCCAAGCATTACTATGCCGAATACTTCATCAACCAGTTCATAAGCAAATCGAGCTATCCTTTAACCTCTGTCATATATATTGAGGAATTCTTACAGCAAATTGACTCGTTTTTTTTTTTTAATTTCGAGTATGGCTCTATGCGTAATCTGTCTATGGAACACTTGTGCAGGTTATTTGTTTAACTGGCATTCTCTCTTTTTCTCTACGGTGTTAGCTTTGATTGATTTGTATTGCAAAAGTATTGATTCTTTTCATGGTTATCATCGTAAAAACTAACCGATTACTTGTCTAAGCTATGAACGAAAACAATGTTATTTATTGCTGTCGCTATTCTGACAGAGATCCTTTAGGTAAAATGTATTCTAATAATATGTTTAGTAAAGTAACTAAATACATTCAATTAAACGATCACTTTTGAGAACGATTGAAGTGGCAAAGCCAAAATAACATCTTGCATCAACGGGAGGCTCCATGTCTCTATTTTGACCGTTCTAGATAATTGTGACTGTATGACAAGACATTTTTGAAATTCGGTATTCCAGAAACGCGTATTACAAGCACAACGAATGCTAGCCTCGGGTAGTTGTAGTTATTATTATTATTAATTGCACTAAAGACTAAAAGTTGTGGAAAATCGTGGTATTCTTCTCATAAAGCAGCGCAATTGAACTGCATGTGATAGCGTCCCATCCGAAGATGGCTAGGATGTCATCAGAGTATACATTCAAGCAGTGGGGCTATTTTGACGTCGTTTACTTGAGCAAAATGATTTGTTTCGGATTAGGCGAGCAATATATTCTACTGTTTTTTACGTAAGGATAGAGTTTTTGGTTTATTTGACCGGCCTTGCTTATGCTGCCGTATTCTTAGAACCATTACAGGCGACCTGTATTATGTATATATAATTAAGCAGATATTGTCTTAGGGCGTGTCAGCTCGTGTAAAACGTGAGTTCACGTGAAATCCAACCAATCCACTCGTGAGAGTAACCATTTTATCAGGGAAAGCTTAGAGATTCAAACAGCCGCACTGCTGGTACTCATACATGGTAGCTAGGTGAAAGTAGTACCGTCCTCAGCAAAACTTTGCATGTTTTAGATGCTAGCAAATTTGTTAATTTTTCTAACAAGCATCGTTATGTAAAAAGGGTATTATGCTATAACGGGTGTTCATTTTCCTACTGGGAACTACCGCACAAAGATAAGTTACGATTTCGGGCTAGTTTTGTTCTTTTGTGTTTCTTGTAATACAGAACAGTTCATTTCTGAACATTACTGACAGAACCAACAGTCCGTAGCACATGAATCCGACGAAACAATGGTTAATGAACTACCGTCGTATTTGGATAAACGCATACACATGAGTGACAATTTCTCGCCTTTTGCTCATTATAATAATTATAACGTGAAATTTATTAGTCGCTATTATTAGCTAACTTTGATATGTCTATAACTGCCAACTTACATATCACTTGTGTTGTCATAGTTAGGATGTACGCAATAAATATGTTTGCTAATCCTAGGCGGGTGTTATAGTTTAGCGAGGTTGAACTAATTGCACTGTTAATGTGTCGATATAATGACCTGTAGCTTAGACGGGTGATGACACTCCTACACTTCTGTCTACGGTTCTTTCAACTGCATTAGCAAATTTACGAATAGTTTGAAACTCCATTATTTCCCTTATGAAAGCAAGATTTCACGTCGACCCTGATGAGTAAAATTAAGATTAACTCACTTGTGGCATGAAAGAATTAGACTTTCAATACTTAATGAGTTGTTCTGTACCGGGTGTCATCTTCGTACAAAATATCGCTGAGTGCAGTAAACAAAATATAATTCATGTGACTCACAGATTGCCTGTTTCACCTACAGAACGGAATACCAAATTTCACCTGAATAATACCCTACCATGCAGCTATATCTTTGCATCGTTTTTCTGTTTCATTGCACCTATCGCGTAGCACATTTTTGTATGTACATAACGTCATGTTGAAAAACCCTTTCCCCAAATAGTTAAGGGTGATTCATGCAGAAAGATACTGTTTCAAGTTCCCCTGTAGGAATCATTCAAATCAGAGTTAAACTTTTGCTGGAAGAATATTTTCTTTCAGCGGATAGATTTAGACGAACAATTTAAATGCGATGCATTTTGATTCCCGTTAGCCTCTGTCTGGTTATCAATATTTACTATGGAATGATCAGATGCCTCATTCTGTTTTTAAGTTTTTGTAGGGACAGTGTTTGTTAAGAGATAAGAGAAAAAGTACGGTATTTAGGTTACATTTGCGCGTAGTTATACTAATATATGAATAGCTCTAGGTAAAGGATTTCATATATAATGAGGCTAACTTGGGAAAAGTGACACAAAACGACGTAAATAATTTATCAACGTATTTAAACCTATCGCAATATACTCGTTTGCCTCTACTTTATACATTGCTACTAAGTCAGCTTTTATGCGAAAGCATATTGATTCGAATTCGTAGAAATGCCGTGATATCAAAAAATGAGACACAGTGTGTGTTTTCTGTTCCAAATATGCCTCGTCACATATATGTAAAATCAATATTTATCATACTTGCATTGATGTTTATTTCGATATGCGTGTGTGGTAGGTTACCCGGGCACAGCTAAAAATAAAACATCTCGGTTCAAGATGGTTATAAAATGAAAAAAAGATTTTCAGTGAACGATCTGAATATCGATTTAGGTATTTAAGAAATTTCAACAGCCTAAAGATAGTCGGCCAATTCAGCTTTATTTGTATATATTTATTAATTGTCTAATAGATTGGCGTAAAATATAATAAATTGTGTTTTTGTAGTGTCATCGATGATATTCTGGTTAAGTATTTACTGGCGATGGTCGACCCCGAGATGATGGACTCCGACGAGTTCGATGTTAATGGTTTACGAGAAATGCTTTCCGCGTACATCCCAGAAGTTGATCAAATAACTGAGTAAGTTTATTCTATTTATAAACGCTGTAACATTTATTTCATTAGCAAAACTAGTGATAATTTATTTTGGTTTAATTTTTTTAACTATAAAATTTCTGGTTAACTTATTGCTAAAGCAAAATGCATCCTAATTATCGGGCCAATGGACGGTAGTACTAGTACAGTGCTTCAAGGTATTTAAAGTCGTAAACGGTATTTCTAAGTTTCGCAATTATATGCGCTTTTATACTAGGCGAAATATTCAGTAGTAAAGTGGAAACCACGCTAATACCCTGTCAAACTACCCTGTTCAACGTGTGCACAACTGACTCAAACATATAAGCACTATAGAGAGATTTTACCATCTTAGTTATCTCTGAAAGTAAAAGGGACCCCGAAACCCAATAGACTCGAAATCTCGGAAATGAATTGCATAAAACAGCCTGCCTATATAATTCAAGTCTCCTGTAATTTATACTCGTACGACGGTTAAATCCTTTTGTAAAGTACCGTGGAGCGTCGTTCAATTATGGAACTCAAAAATGCATATTCGGCATTGCTTTTCTACTATTTTCGTGCCGAAAAAGCGCTGCTACGGCAAAGAAACACTTGGGAGGTCGAAGGCGAATGTCGAATAAGTGTAACCTTTCGTCAGTTTTAGTTTATTCGCTTCAAAGCCGGAGATTTCAACTTGAACGACAAACCATGCTGCGGATGGCTACAAAAAACGAATCACCCCAAACTGCAAGCACTTCTTAAGCGAAATGCAGCCTTTTGACCTTAGCCTAGTTAACCTTAGAGCGGTCTGCACCGTTAGAAGTGAGCCAGATGGCTATTGTCAATCACTTGCATACATACGGAACAATTAAAAAGAAGAAAAAGTATTCACTGAAAAAAAAATAAAAGGACAAATTAAAAAAGACTGGCTGACAATATGTCTATAGCTGCTGGCACGAGAGCAAAGCATGACAATTCTATTCCAGATCTTTATCGGCAACAAAAGACTGACCGCAAACCAGAATAGTTGGAGTCCTTCAGTTCGATACGAGAAAAAAATATTCATGGTTAAAAGCTGCACCTCTGCATATTTGTTATATTGTGAGCTACTCAAACCCCAAAAAAAATGATAGGAGACAGTCACTCGAATCAACCCTTCTGTTTGAGCCACGATGTCATAAAATGGTCTTAAACTGGCAAAGGGCGACGTACGGTAATATTGTTGCATGGCGACGCTATATTGCCTACTGCTTTGATAAGCCAGCTCCTAGTGACGAACGTTTAAGGAGAACCTCTGTCGAACTCAATGAACAGCCCGTACACCACTCCATCTAATTTTCAATCGTTTCGGTGTATGTAGTACATTCAGGAAACTAAACACGTGGCCTCACAAAAGAGACCGAAGTATGCAAACGGGGAAACGTATCAATCACTTACGAAGACGAAACATTTTTTTCGCGAGATACATCAGTTGCCAGAAATATGGGCGAAAATCGTGGTGGGTGAAAGACACTATTTCTACTGAGATGTATCCATCTGTTTAAACGTTACATAAATTAAAACAGAATAAAGATATAACAAGAACTTTTTTTATTAATTTACTAAAGGCAAACCTAAGCTACCCAATTGACCTCTCTCTTTAATATCCGTAAACCTAAAAGCAGTTATCGACTCAGGCACAAAAAGCATTACATTGAGAAAACTAGTTGATTGGCAGTGTTTTACAGTACTAAATAACATCTTTTAACCTCAGTTTGTCACCCTTCACGCTTTTTATCAACGAGCTTTCTTCATGGATCAGGCAACCTCATTTTTTCCTAAAGATGATCTTGTCCGCAGACGACCTTGTTATTTATTGATTTCACCTTCAACAAGCGCTAATATTACGAAACAACCCCGCTCTTGGATTTGATCTTCAAACTAGTAAGACAAAAGGCAGAGGCCGTAAGGTTTAAAAGAAAAAAAAGACTAACAGTAATTATTTTCATCTGAACAGTAATAATAACGGAATTGTTTACTCGATTACGTATCTCGTCTTCACGCTAACGCCAACGGAAAGATTTTTCGCTGACGGTATTGAGGAACAAAGCAGAAAAGCCAGCGGTTGTAGCTGTCAACCTAAAATCGAAAAAAAAAACGTTATTCATCAAAATAGTAACCAAGTTATCTAGTCTAAAAGTTTCGCCCACTGCTAACGCGAGATTCAAATTCTTTGGGAAAGGCGTCTGCGATCTCCTAAATTTGGGTAGAGTAAAGTCGATATTTTGAAGCTGATACTAGACCTACACGCAAGAGCTTGCGACCGTCTAATAGATTAACTGACCGATACTGCGACATTCAAGATAGAAGATATATCAAAAAGAAACAGCTGCACAAAGACAATGAAAACTGAAACGTACAGGACATTTACACAGACACAACGGTTAAATTATGCCAATGTAAATACTTTATTTTTTCATGCCTGAAAAGTATCAATAGCATGTGAAAATAAGCAAGCAAAAGTAGTTTCCATAGTATAACTTGGTTCACAATGAATGGGCTCAGTCACCTTATTTGTGAAACCCACGGGTACCTTGAACCCAATAAAGATTGCATCCGCAATCTATAACCGCCGGTGCAACCTAATTATATTAATTAATTTACTTGCAAACCTAAATATTAGATATATTCATATATGCACAAAACCATATCTTATAGCATATGTTGAATATTTATAACTATTAGTGTATACTGTGTATTTGCAAAAACAGTGTGAAATGGATGAACTATCAAGTCAGTTTATAAATGTGGTCACATTCATTATTGACAAATTTGGTTGTGCCATATAAAAACACGTTGAATTAAATATAGATTTAGCATTGTATTACGTTTTTCAGTGGTCAATTGGCTCAATGGGTGGCAGATACGTCGTCGCTTCTCGTATCTTTAGGAGAAGAATCACCTTCGCCTCCAGAGTCAATGGTCTCGTTTCGCGCCATCGAACCGATCGGGCCCCCAGTCAGCCAGGCCGTCCCGAAAGGACGTAAAGACCAGCCGCCTTCACAAAGTAATGGATACACCCATGACACCGAAATTAAAGCCAAAGGAAAAATTGTAAGTTTTTAAAAACTCTGTTAATGCCTGAATCAGCATAGGTATGACAGCTTTGTGGCCTGTGTAGCTAAGTCTTCGGTTAAAATAACCAAAGTTCCTTGACTTAAGCATTGTCTTATGTTACATTGCATAGGTAAAAATTAAAATATGTATTCAATATGTGACGTAATTCACTAGTTAGGTGATCTGATAAGCTCACTCATTTTTACCGATATATTTACTTTTATTCGGTTGGTGAACTAAAAGCTGAACCCAACATGACGCCGGTATGAACTGGACTGTTAAGTTAAACTCTAAGTCATTTCAAACTGAGCATGACTGTATCACGTGACTCATTTCAGGATGATACTCGGGTGGATGAATTGGCTCTCGAGGCATTAGCAGAGATGTTTCCACACAAGAACGCTCTTCGCATCCGCAAGAGTCTTCTGATCGCTAATGGGGAGGTAGATGCTGCTGCACAGCTGCTTCTTCAAGATGACGGGGTAGCGATGGGCAGTGACGAGTTACTTCTTAGCTCGACACAGATGGCCGCACAAAGAACACATGTCGATGAAAAGACACTCCGCGATCAAATCATTAACCGGTAGGTTAATGGATTCATGAGTCATCAATTATAGAAATGTTGTTATATTTGGTCAAAGTGTACAGCAAGTCACATTCCCGAAAGATCTCATATTAATTTTGCGTGAACGCATTAGAACATACGAAGTTACGGTTCGAGCTTTTAAACAGACAGGAATACGCATACCAGAGTTACTACTACAATGGCAATCAATACTTACGCAATTGTTACGACAATAATAAATTCAATATAACATAACGTTCAACTATTCTTTGCATTCCTATCTGGTCTTTCGTCAGTTGTGTTTCCGATACTGCATTCTCCGTTTCTATATGTAGTATTTATTTTGAACTTCAAATAAAACGTATTTCTCATTGGTTTTATTTAAATTACTTACCTGTCTTTTTGTCCTTTAATTACAGATATGCTTATGTGGACGTTGACGAAGATAAAAAGGAGCATAAGCCAGTTGTGCCTAAGTCTGAACCTAAAAAACTCATTCGTTATCGAGACAACAAAGTGGTCTCCGTTAAGGGTGAACGATTTACTATAGAAAAGAAATCACAAGAGGTCGAGAACTGACGTTCGCCTAAGGGGATGCCTTCAGGTCCCCGAAGTTCGGGTCGGCCAAGGGCTTTTGCTCCCGCCCCTATACCGCCACAGCTAAAGCATACCCAACAAACACTACTACCATTGCCATTATCATTGATTGTACTATTGCTATCTACAAGTCTACAAGTAATATTGCTATTAGTCTTAGTATTATTAATGTTATCACAATTCGTTGTATTGCAATGGACATGTTCGGCATCGAATCAGACGTACAATGCCAGTACAGTTGGTAAGATGTGTCTTTATAAAACCTTGATAAGCGCGCCGGTCGTAACAGATATCTTGATCTTTGTTCAGTATTTCATTAAAACGCTAAATCGTAAAAATACTGAAGCTGATTTATCGCTGCACTTCGCAATCGCGACAACGGCAACAACATGGGAGACAACTGGAAGTGTAGTAAGAGCGATAACAGTGATTATTCTATTGTTGTTATTATTATTATCATTAGAAACTATTCGGTTGAGACAGAAATCGTCATTTGAACTAGAATTATTGGTATGGACAGCGTGTGTCCAGATGAATCCGGCGGATGTGTTCTGGGGCAGTCGACAGTCAGAGGCTTTGAGGATGCGGTAACCCAGGTAGACATTAGGAGGTGTCGACGTTTGACTGTCTTTATATGTTGTTATTGCAATAGCTCTTAATGATCTCTACTCATAGAAAAGTGTAGGCGGTAGCCATGTCTCAAATGCCGGTCGTCCCTTGAATTTATGATGCAGAGGGTAAGCCTACCTCTAGAAAATCAATAGGGAGAAGTACAGAAAGCACAAAAACAGGTTCTGATGGAATACGTAAACGATAATTGTAAATGCTTGAAGGCAGAGTCTAATACTGAACTCAAGAGGATTAGCCCAAAACTAAATCGCATTGGGACCTAACGAACAACCTAAAAATTCTTAAAAGAAGCTATTTAAGGATAGAAAATGTAAGCAGACAATTTACGTCACCATCTCAAAATTCCGCATAATGCACTACCTGCACACAGCGTAACCAAGCCGGTATAGCGCTCTTCAAGTGAAACTACCACTTCCTAGTGGCCACAATATATTTTTACTATACTTGTTTTAAAACAATTATAGTTATTGTGTTCTGGTAATAAAAAGAAGAAACGGCAAAATTGGTTTATAATAAAGACGTGCATTTTTTAACTTCCTGGGTAATTTTCGGGCTGCATTACAAATTAACGCAATCATAATGACAAAAAGGTATTTTGTACAGGCATATCCGTTCTCGATCTGAAAGAATCACAGATCAATTTATGGGCTCTCTTAGACAGCCCATCAAGGGCGACGGCACTAGTGAGACACAATATGGTCACACGAATGTTCTGATTCAGCTTCGTGTGTTACTTTAGCTTTAACTACTCGGCCATTTTCTCTTGTTGTGATACCACCTTAGTATTGTAGAAAAGATAACAGCAGGCTACTTTTTTTTTAGGCATTTAGTTACCTGTGTATCTTAAGTAACATAACTTTGTACGTCCCTGCTCTGTAATTGTTGTAGGTTTTTCACCTGCGCCATTTAGTTTTCTTCTTCATGGTTATCAAAATCATGAAACATAATCATCGAAACGAAATGACGTAGCTGACTTAAGGCCAGCGTAACTCTCCAAGAAAAACTTCTGATTTTTCTAAATATAAACAAATCTGCTACAACTTACCCACGTTTATTTATAGTAGAGAATACCTCGGTAAAAAAAAGTTTGGTTGTTTATACGGACCACAATACACCGAGTAAATTTTAGGCTGGTGGAATTTGGATACGTTTGGTTGAAGAAGTCAGTTTGAATCTGCAAACATAGCACTGATCTCGAACGCTAGGCGTCGTAAATAAGTGCTATCAAATTACCAGAACGAAACGAGATGTAAAGTAGTTAATTGGCCCTACTATGCATTCGCAATCTAACCTTTAATCAGTAACCATCAAATTAGGCGGCTTTTGAGCTTCTGAAACTCCAGTACTCTTACGTATTTTATCGTTCGGAAACTTTTGCCAACATCTATACATGTATACATACAGACATATGTAAACAAATTACATAGACGCACATACAAACGTGTACACACAAAAAGCTATCAACGTATGTTCCATTGGTGTTAAATAGACATTAATACAACGGTCGATAAACAAAGAATGGCCCTTAGGTGTTTGTTAACCGAATGTTGTCGACATTACTCCTCAAACAGCCGCCGGACGGTCTGATATTATTGATCGTTGAAATATCGAGTATCGCCTCCTTAAATATGCCAATGGTGCAATCAGAGGCGCCTTACGTAGATCTATTTGATCGTTTTCATGGAGAAAGGTGGAAGAGAAATAATTGGATACGAACTGACTAAATGACCTGATGATGACTCTCTTAAATTGTTCTAGTCGACTGTCTTAGGTTACCAGTGTCGCAGTATCATGCATGGATAAGCACAGGTTTGCAATACTACAAATCATCAACATAAACCAAAAACCTATCTCCGAGCCCAATCTTCCGTTATGGTATTAGCAATACCTAAATTTCCCGAGTACACACTTAGTTATACTATCGACTCAGTGTTTGAGCTATGAATGAGTAGTATGGAACCGCTCTTTACGGGTCACTTGAAGAAATGCCGCAAATACTATATACACGCATATTGGAATACCATGTACTTCATTCACCCAATGACGTTTTTATATGGACCTCTCAGATTAGCTATATGGCTAGCATTGGAAGAAACACACTGTAGGTGTGCTGCTAGAAGATAAAAAACCAACTAAAGGTCATCATCAGGCTTGTTTCCTTAAAAAATATATTAGATATATATTCTTCAACGTGGCAGCGTTTATCTATATTCGACTAATTGTCATTGTGGCACAATCCGTAAGCTAAAATATAGCTTTTTATTTCATCGCCGAGCGAGTACTTTTTAATGGTCTTTATTGTGACAGTAGATACAAGTAACGAGTAAGGATGTTCAATGTACCATATATAAGTAACTTTTACTTGTTTTTTATTTTTTAAAAGACTACGTGTACTTAGCATGTGTTTAGTTCCTCTTGAGGTTGTCCGTAATTCACTTTTTATAATTGTAATCATTTACTGAAAACAATTATAATTTAGATTATTAATTTACTTAATATTTAATAGTAATTAAAATAATAAAATAATAAATACATACATCGTGGCTTGTGATACAATTATGCCATTTATTCTCACGCAATACATTTTTTACTACATTTTCTCCTTCGATCTTGTGAAATCACTGAAAAGTATAATTTACTTCAAAAATTATTGGATTTTTACATATAATTTCCAGAACAAAGTGAGTCTATCCCTCTGTCCCTCTCCTTTCCCTTTACAGCCTTTTTTCATCATTAATGAGCCGATATTGTTAGAAGAGCTCTTACTGGTATACTCTCGATGTATTTGAGTCGCGCGCACGAAATCCGCACTTCTCTCACAACAAGTGTCATTTTCATAAACGTCTACTTCTAGCGTTAATGACTTTAACCTATTCAGCAGTCATTGCACGTCGTTAATAAATTGAGCCATATCTGCGTTACTGTAGTGTATATATATGATTACTGGCCATAGTTGGAAAAAATAAAAGTATTCAGTTGCCTTATCTTATTGCTGCTAAAATTAATAATAGAAATATATAATGGTATAAACTATTCGACATTTCCACAAAGTTGATGATGTTTACATTAAAAACTTGCTACAATACCCAATCTTATAAAAAAATGATTTTCTTTTAGAAATTCATGAAAATTATCTTTTAATTGGAGATTTGTAATATAAGCACTATTTAAAATACAAAGAGATTGTGTACACTTCCGCGTCATCATCTTACAGACCAATTGACCTACACTCATATTATTATAATCACTTTTACACTAATTAAATTTTTTTTTAATTTTTATGTATCTTCTTGTAGCATTCTAGCATTACACACTGTGTAATGTAAAACGTGTGAATAACCTGTAACAGTAAATCAACATCGCTGAAGCCATTCAGCTAGATTACATTACACGCAACTCTTCTAACATGACATTATGCACCCTTATGTTACATTGATAATCACACCAATTGTCACGCCGTGAAAAAGATTCCAGCTAATGATCGACTGAATTAACTCACATTAAGTGTTTTTGATTTTCCGCGACAGTAGCCATGGAAGAGCTCCCGAAACTGAACAATAATGAAAGACTCAACGAGGCATGAACTTAAATCAATCATCAGTGGGAAAGAAAATAGAAAAACATTTTACTCGCACTAATCACGTAAACGCTTGCATATAGGACACGGCTGCCCTAATAATTCGCATGTACCTTGAATACTATATTTATAAATATCTAGGTGTTATGACACTTGACGCACGTACGCGAGGCATTAGCCCGTGGAAATGCTTGTACGTTAATCTAGGCCTATGACTAGTTAGGCATTGATCTTATCCATTTGTGCACTACCTAGTTCACTCATGTACCTACTTTAGAATACGCCCGTTATTGGACAGATGCAGATCACAGCGTTTATCGGCTTTTTAAAGCCTACAATTGGCAGGACAAACAACTATTTTGAATGAGTTGTCTTTACGACCAAATATTACGAAGGCCGCGCAAACACTATTTTCAAATACGAGTTGTCGAACTCGATCACAGATGATTTCATAATAGGATTTCATCGAAGACGAATCAATTTTTTCGAGTAATTCCTTGACACTCGCTTGAAACGCTTTTTCATCACTTTCAACATTGAGGTTCGCAGCAATATGTCGTACCTGCGGCAAACCCATGTCAACCGCAAGCACCTCGACAAAAAGTTTGTCGTTAATACACTTAAACAGTGGACCCTTGAGAATTGCTACTACATGAGTCTCGGCGCGCTTTCTCTGAAGAGCACTTAGTTTTTCCTGTGACAACAGTGTCACCTTAATGAGACTCTCCAAAGTAGCCGGCCTATCTTCTTTCCTAGTGGTGGTCGCTGAGTCTCTACTTACTGACTGTACTTCCTGTCGGCTCGCAGCAACTAACTCCAGTGCATCTTTGAATGACACTCTTCGTTCACTATATTTATCTTTGTCAAACGTACGCACCTTCACCATTTCTGGATCCGTGTCCTTGAGCAGTAGTATATGGCCCACATTCATTTCCCGGCAGATCTGGGATACCTCTTCGACGCTTAAGGTAGGGTTCATCGTCGTGCTGCTCGTAGACCCAAGCCAAAGGGTCCGCAATACGAGCGCACTCTCTCTATTCATGGCCTTCTGGGCTGTTGTGCAAACAACCGAATCAACGTAAGAAACTTTTTCGAATTCAATAGCTAGCTTGACAAGTTTGTCAACTGTAAAACTTACTCCGACAGCTCGATATTGAGGAAGCACATCCGAACGTGCCAAGCGTACCCGAAAACGATTAATTAGCGTATCATAGCAACCACCGACGGCAAGAACATCTTGACCGCTTTTCAAACGTTTATTTGTGCGGAGCTTCACTTCGAACAACAACCCCGTATTATAAAGACTGGCATTATGTACGAGGCAAGGAACGATTACAACAGGCAGCTTGAATGAGATGCTCTCGAGTAATGTTACGACGGTGTCAAGCTCCTCAAGCGCACTCTTCGCTGCAGCTCCGGCTGCACCTTTGTTGTGAATTATTGAACGGTACATTGCAATAATCTTAGCCATTGAGTCTTCTACTTCCCGGAATTGTGAAATCATGTTGATACAGGTCTCCGGAAGACTCATGTCACTTAGCTGGTTTTGAATTTTCAGCTTGGACACGTATCGGTTTCTCAGTAATTTAAGTATTTTCAATTGCTTAGTCTCATCATTGATACCAGCATATAATAGTAACGATTTTAGTAAGCCATAGTGATTGATGCGCAGATAGGGTCCCAAATCTAACTTGTCCAAAAAAGAAAATTGGCAAATTACTTCTTCAATAACTGAAAACACTTCCATCAGTGGCAGCCGTTCATCGGGGTCGATATGGGTGCTAGCGATATCAAAGCTAGCCTCGAATAGCTCTTTCGGATGACAGCCAAAAATGCGCCTCGAACGGAACACTCTATCTATCGCATATCGTTTAATGAATGGAATGCCCTTTCGAGCAACATATCGCGCAAAAGGGACTCGCGTATTGTGCGGTATACTCACAAGACTTCCTTGATTGTCCATGAGCTCCACCATGTTCTCATCGGCCTCAACACGACCGCTACGCGGCATCAGCAATGGTACGTACACATTTTGGGCCCCATGAAGCTTCATAACGGCTTCAATTCTCTCACGCACACAGCAGAAAATAGCAGAGTTCCGAAGAGATGTATCCGAGTTTTGAACATCGTCCATATCAAAAGTGTACTCCCACACATCGTCCATTTGTTGGCTAAATAATGAGTGCACAAGTTTCTTATAAGTTTTGCTTTGACGATTCGAAACTGTGTGTCGGAGCATTTCATTTAGCTCAGCTTCTTCAATGACCGGGGGAGGCAAATAATCTGAGCTGAGCAAATCAACTGATGTTGGCCTTTTAGAGGGATCGTGATGCAGCAACCATTTAACCAGATGAACTTGTTGATGACTGAGAAAGCTCTCGAAATCCTGTGGCAGCTTAATATCTGGCAGCCGTATATTCCCTAAATTTCTCGCTCGTTCCATCTTGGTTTTGCAAGGATAAGACATTTCGAAGAAAATTACCCCTAATGAGTAAATATCTACTTTCTGTGTATAAACACCCCCTGTTTCGGACTCAGGTGCTGTATAAAGTTCAGTGCCGACCCTTCCCGTCCTGCTTTCGGTTCCGAAATCGGGGGACTTAATGACATCGCCTTCTTCTGGCCTAGTACCCCTAGCTGTTGTAGCTAGACCGAAGTCCCCGATTTTCGCTCGATCGGTCTTACTGAGAAAAATGTTTACCGGCTTGAGGTCTCTATGAATAATTCCTTGTTGGTGAATATGTACAAGGCCTTCAATGATTTCCCGAAATAGCCTCCACATACGATCGGCGTCTTTGTACAGTCCACCGTCGATCGCGTTGCGTAATGTCAACTTGTCACAGAACTCCATTTGAATAAACATATATTGCACCTGACATGCCGAATCTACCTCGCTTACTTCACCTGTGTCATTATCGTTATTGGACGGAGGGCTATTTGCAGAATGCTCGAACATGATGTCCGACGACTCGGACTTGTGCCCTATACCGAAAAGCTCACCTTCGGAACTATCGCTGGATTCTACGGCATTCTTTGGCATTACATAACTCAGAGAGACGCTCCATTCGACCGACGTATCAACCATCGGAGGAGCTTCAAAATGTGGCTCAACCCGGTTCAGCATTAATGATAGTGAATCTGATTTTTTAGGCGATGTTCCTAATTCAGCTTCAATATCAGTCTTCATCGCAACGACTTCGACCCACGAATTGAAGTACCGTACTACATTTTCGTGATTTAGTCGAGATAAAAGACAAACCTCCCTAATGATTTTGCGATTTAAATGCCTATTGGAGGGCTCAAGGAGAATCTGCTTAATTGCGTAGATATTGCTATCAAGCTTGTTTCGCACCTTTAACACTAAACCAAAGCCACCACTGCCGAGAAACTCAAGAATCTGAAATTCAGTTTTTAATCGAGAAGTACTTGGGAGATCATTGTACGAAACGGGAATATTGTTTGAGCTATTGGCGATCGCACCTTCATCGGCGTTATCCGTTTCAAGAGACTCCAAGTCGGACGTGCTTGAAGGTGTGTTTGAGATCTGGGACTTGTAAATAATTTTCTTCGTAATAAATTTATGTTCTAGCAATTGACTCACTTCCCAACGTTCATTCTCGTTCCTTGCAAAGCACTTTTTAAGAAAATCCTGAAAGTCACTCGGAAACAACGATGAAATTTTAATTATGTTTTCATGAATCCTTGAGCCCTGTGCCAATTCCAACGACAATAGGCCAACTGAGTAAACATCAAGTTTCATGACATTCGTTGGCTTAGACGAGTCTTCACCACCAAATAGACTCCTCATTAAATCATCGAGATTTTTCACTACTCCGAAATCAGAGATTTTAACAACACCTCGTTGGTTAACAAAGACGTTGCTTAGAGTTAAACCTCCATGGCTAAGGTCGTTCTCATGCAAATGAAGAAGTCCGTTCAAGATGTCTTGACAGTAGGAACGCAACACTTGTAGGTCCAGAGGAATACCTTGCGAGATATGCATTTTTAGCGGAGTATGCCCAGTTAGCATTTCCTGCAAAATTGATATCGTTATTTTATCTTTCTGAGGTTCCTGTAAAATTCCGTAGTATCGAACCAGGTTGGGATGTTGAACTCGACAGAGAATACCGAACTGAGAGTCCACCGTACTCAGAAGCATTTGCTGGGACGAGTTCAACTCGAATTCCTTCAAGCGGCTCGAAGCTGTAATAATAAAAACAACTTATTTAGCGGTCTATAAAATTAGCGTTAACTGCCAGAGGGATGATAAAGGAAAAATTGGTACCGTAAATACTATGCGTAAAAGCTACGATCATCTCACACAATTATTGTAACTGAGTTAAAATTAAAATCGTTTAGCATTAATTTCACATTTTTATAATATAGATAGGGGTATGTAAAGTAGGATGTAAAGAAAAGCGAAATATAACTATTTGTTAATAATTATATTTCGCTTTTTATATAATCATTTTTCCTATACTGTATTGAATTCCCTATGGCTACTTTTATACGGTATAAAAATATATGAACGTACATTTTTGTGTAAAGATCCATTCATGCAGACAAAAGGTCTCTCCGGTCGCAGCTTCCATAGCAACAAAAGCAACGCTCCCACCCGAAGAATGTCCTAGACAACGACCCCGATGTAATGTTCGTTCTTTACCACTTACTGTGATTTTTACTTGTACAACTTTATGACCCTTGCACGATGTTCCGCTTGCTGGAATTGCACACGAGATATTCCTTTAGTAATTACAATTTCTCTCAAATCCAAAATGCGGTTTTTCGTAAATGATGTATATTACGTTTTCAATTAACATTAACAAGTGATATGCTCTTACGGTTCAATACAAGATATGATACGAAATTATACATTCAGTTTTTATGGTTTTACGCTTGGGTTGAAAAAGAGGAGATAGCTCTATGATTTTGTCCGTGTTAGAATAATTATATGTAGAAAAAACAACTTTATTAATGTTGACTACCCACATTCAGAGTCATCTGGACTCTTGTCCGATGAGTAGCTAAGACGCATATCGTTCTGTCCACTTGAGTTGGCCCTTCGCCGGCGAGCTTCTTCTCTTACTTGCTCCTGTCTCATTTTCACCTGATATGCAAGCTGATCGATTACCTTTCCTTGCTCTTCCTGTCAGATAAGCAATAACGCGAAGGTTGATTTGTCAAAAATAAACCTAGTTGTTTTTCGTAGACTACTGAAAAGACGACCAGTTGTGTGGTAAATTTGCTGTTATTTGGTCAAGCTGCTCTAAACTTTTTGGTGTTTTATTTTTTGAGATAACGAATAAAAAAATAGCGCATTCAGATTGAATTTACTACAAGGATTGTGGAACTAAAATTATCCAATCAGCCAATCATGTATGACCCCAAACTGCATTTCGTAAGCACTTAACCATAAGCTAATTCACCTTAACAATTAAAAGTAATTTTTGTAGTTATTTTATGACCTGCTCCTTAGCTTCAAGAGCTTTTTGCTCCTCTTCCAGTTGCTCCTTCTGTTTGCGTTTGTTCTGCATCATCTCATCGTAGATTGACAGTGCCCTTGGTTTGTTGAAGCGAACGAGATATTCCTGCACATACTGGCACACGTTCAGGATCATTACCTACATTCCCAATCAAGTTATTTCCCGTGAATCTAGATCTAACAAGTCCTACGAATTAAAGAATGACTGATTAATGATGTATCATATTTGGCGGGCCAATGCCATTGAATTGTTTACAAAACTAAATAATAGTAAATCGCTAAACGTTATATGATAAACCAAAGAACAGCAGATAAACGATATTTGCGGTAAAAAAAACGGTGCTTATTGTATTTAAAAAATACAGCCAATTTTCGGTCAAAAGAATTAGTTGTAAATTGACAGTCAATTTGTAAGCTAATCTACTATTATTAGTTACATCTGAAAAATATGTTCACTACTAGAACCCTGTCACACCTACTTTTTAAAGTTAACAAATTTTACAGATGAAATATTAATCGTACCTCTCCTTTTAAATTTTCTGCCATTTTGTTGATCTCTACTATAAGTTGATCTGTCGCACTTGTTGGCACGCCTTTATTATTCAAAACTTCAAATGATGGCACGCTATCAGGGTAAGTCGGACCGCATGTTACGCGTAATGTAAGCTCCGCATGACTTTCCTTGTTGGTCATAGACTTCTGTGGTCTTAGACGAATCTTGACGTCCAAAGGATGCCATATCTAATTATTAAACCCAGCCGGTAGTGAGAAGCAGATACGTTATCTCTGATGGGTTATTTGTTCTCGTATCAAAGCTTTTTTTAGTATACAAAGCTAAAGGCTTTCCTACTCATCACTTTGAAGACTTGGCCAACAGCAGTTGTATCTATAGAGTATGAGTTTGCAGAAAGATACATACATGCGAATATATTAATTCGATTACTTGTATCATCAGGTATGAGGGGCCGGAAACGAAACGCTTCAGTAAATGAAGCACTATGATTCCTTATGATTATATTAAAAGCAGAATTATATTTCGCACGAAATTATACAACATGGGAAAATTCCTTTACGCAAAACAGAAGATCATTCACCTTCCATTTAACTTTTTTCGGTCGTAGATCATGAACGTCGTTGACATAGATCGACTGAAGCACCTCGAGCTCTTCGTCCTGTCTCTCACCGTAAGTGGACATCCTCTAAGCTTCCAGCTTCCCTCGTCCGCAACGCCGGCTGAAAATAAAGCCAAACTATACACTGACGCAGTCGATGTTGGTAAACTAAAGTGTTAAAAAACCGGTCTTTCTTTCGGCTGGAATTTGAAAAAAATCATCGAGCATAATGTTTAAAATTTAAATTCGTGCCGCTGGAATAGTCTCGACCACTTCTGCCATGATAAGATACTACTACATACGGAGAGACTGAACGGATCGAAATCTAAAAATAACTTCAACGTCCACAGACGTTTTCATGTTTTGAGCAACTTCTCAATTAAATTTCAATCCAGAAGTTAATCGTATTATATGCGAAGAGGCGGTCAATATAGTTTCATACATCTTCTTAAGGCGCAAAATACTTTCCATTAAGAGCATTCTGCAGGGATCGAAGGTGGTAATCGAAAGGATCAAGATCACTAAGGCACTATACCCTGAGTGGTGCAAAACATCCCAATTAAATTCGTACAATTTTGGCGAGTCACTAAAGGAGCGTGAAGGAGGAAGTTGTCATGATAAAACATGACTCTGCTTTTTCCAGAAACAAAACTTTGACACTCACCCTAAATACACATTCGAGATTTCCATCTTTGAGGACTTGTGCAACTTAAGTGAAACGTGCCATTCAGCCGAACACGGCGCCAAAAGAAGCCGGAAAACAACCCTGCAAATACAGTAATCTACCGCTTCTCTTCCATCACCCAAGTGTGTTTGTTGCGCCAAAAATTTAAACTCATTAACCATGTGTCATAAATCAGTTTGCCTCAACTCTCTCATACCATTCAAGTAGCATATAGTTAGTCATTTTTGAGTACTATATATATGTGCGTTCACTAGTACCATTCTATCAATATAATTTAGGGTCTATACAATTCTACAGTATGTAACAGCAGTGATAGGGTGCTGTTGGTAGCCGTCTAACCGTTGTCAACATACTAGGGTCCTTCATCACAAAATAACACGTGTGCACGTACACTTCATCGCTTGATTTGATGTCCGAACGCACGGATTAAATATGACATAAACAAGCCTTTATTTCAATGACATGAGTATGATACAATTATATGCACGGAGATTAAGCAACATTTCATCAGATGTATATATATATATACGACTCAAATTGTTATTAATATGACAATTATTGTTTTTTATTTTATTTTAACTGATTATTGTTGTTATTATCTAAATAATGTAGCAGTCCTTGTACTGTGGACTGTACGTGATAAAAGCTTTACGAAGCCTGTACAATCTCGCGCAATGCATAGACTTCGACTGCCGCTACAGAATAAATAAAAAAAAAACGTAGACCCACACAAGACACGCATTAAGTACACAATCATCTCAATGGCGGTAATAGGTAACTCTACAATAACATCTGCAGTGCAGTAGATGATAGATTATTTAAACACGGTTGTAAAGACTGGAAGGCTCATCCGAACTATACATGCCGATCGTATTCAGTATTTGGCATCCTAGCTGACACTGTTATTCTATTCAATGAAAACCAGCTGCGGCGTGAAGCCGAGTTAAAACTTGTATCTGAATGCACGACAACAATAACGAGGCGCGAACAAAACAGCACTTCTACAGAAAACCAATTAAGAATTAAGCGTACCGTACTTGTTAATTTCATATATGAGCTATAAATTACCAGTGATCCATGATGATGAAGTGAGTATCTGTTTCACAGACACTGTTAAGACGATATTAAGAACATTTTAGCTATTTTTGTTAGTAGTGAAAGCAAAACCAACTCCTCGAAAAAGGAGATGCAGAAGGATTCGAACAACAAAAACATGAAAACGCCAACTTACATAGCTACATTTGTCTAGAGGTGAACAAAATGTTAACGGTAAGCACTTTTGCACACGTAGTCTCGGAGTTCCACGCACCAACTCTCTGTTTTGCTGTGTTATTTATGTGATACGAATCGAGCCACAAAAAACGTACCGCGCGATGATGTGGTTCGACTGTGATACAAAACAGAGCATTACACACACAGAAAACCTCACTAATGACCAATTCTGTGATTTGACTCTTGTCCAGCGCGTTGTCTGCCTCGCTGCAATTTGTTGTAGTCGCAGCAACCGCATCCGTTTGAGGGATACTTTTTCTTATCCAATAGGCAATACAGTAAGCCAATATCGGTTCTTCAGCAGCATGTGAGCGCCAAATTGAAGGTTGCCATGCGATTCACTTGTATTTACGTGCTTTTTTTTTTTGTGTCTAATGTATATGGAGAGTGTCCGTGTCTGGGTAACACGTTAAATTTCGGAAACTCTTATCAAGGCTATCGAACTGTTGCAGCGCCACTACTGTACCAGGGAACGAGCAGCAGTAGCAGCTGAGAAGGTACGGCAGCCGCAGTAACAGCAGTCACAGTTACACTATATCAATATCTACGGCAGCAACGTCTGTCCATATGCCCGTTTTAGGTCTGTTTATCTGTGTGAAATCGTGTGTCTCTAGGAACAGTTCGTCATAGTCTTCTCTGTGCAGGGGGCTCTGCTTCGAGTGTCTGTTCAGTGATAACGACGACTTTGAAACTCGTTCAGCCCAAGCAAGCTCAAGCTCATGCTTGTGGAGACCCATTTAATTCATCTGTTTTTCATTGGTGGTGCTAGTCCTGCAGACTAACCAGGATAGACACTGGCTCAAATTTCAATCTGGTTATCACCACCTCCGTACAGGTATGCAATAGTCGGGACCCGGAACTACCCGGGTCCCTCTCGACTGATTTGTTATTGTTATTAACGCTGTTACCTCGAACAGCTGCGCACCTAATTACTCTTTTTTTGACGAGCACACCCGTACATCGTTCATAAACAAGGTGCATGAAATACGCACAGAAGAATCCAATAATCATATTAATACATAGTACACAATATTCAATACGAGGGACACATGAAAAGCATCCTTTAGACGATGTTAGTTGAGTGAAGCCTCTCATCTCCTTTAGTTCTGTTGGGCAGTTGTTAAATAGCAGCGTGAAGTACGAGGTAATATTATTCAGTTTTTTGTAATTGTGCCCAACTGATTCTCGTAATTATATCATTTTACACTCTTTCTCGCCGAGCTGTTTGCTGTGGGTTCATAGGCGTATCTTGATTGAGACATTACTATAAATATTTGATCTCAAAAAGTTTCTGTGCAGTTGTGCGTGTTCAGGCGTGTTTGGCAGCTTTGTTTCGTGAGTGTCTTCGGTAGGCATAAACTCAGTAGTTTTTATCGTATTCACTCCCTCTGTTTTCGACACTTCGTTCAAAGCAAAACTTTGTTAAAATTGTTTTTCCTGATAAGAATTTCACTGCATATCAGTCTTTTTTGGATGGTCAAAAAGGCCGGTACCGTTAAATGTCGAAAATTTCACAGGACTTTACCTGCTTAATATTATTATGCCATTGGGGAAATAACAAAATTAGCTAGGTTACGGTATAGGAGGTAATGTATTACAACTCATAGCTATATTGATTCGAGAGTTAGATAACCTATTCGATGAGTTGGAATCGTGCGTCATGTTGTTGATGTATGAAATGCGAGGGTCGGCCTGTGGATATTTTTGTATAGGATCTTGTACGTCTTGTGGACATTGAAGGAATGAACTAGCAGCAATACAGTCAGCATGCGTTGTGACCTTGCAGTGGGCCCTACAACCACTGCGTTGCCATTGCGTCGCTTTCAGACAAGGCGGCTCCGTGTCAAGGTTACCGGCATACCCCTCCCCCCATGGCAGAGGTTACGCGTGTACGTTATAACGCATAGGTTTATTTCAGTTGTGAATTAATGAACAGTAAAAATTAACAGAACCTCTGTATTTGTCATAAAAAGGAATTCCACCTGTGATATTTCTATTTTTGTATATTTCTAGATGTTTGACGATTATTATATCATATATATAAAATATATGTATGCTGTGAAGATGTGCAAAATGTTAGTCAACCGTTTTTATGCTGGCAAATTGACTGAAGTTGCCTATCGAAGATGTTTTTTACGCGCGGAGTGTATGAAGTATCTGTCAGCTGGTGCTACCGTTTACAGTTAGCGGGTATGCATCTGATACAGCAATATCTTTAGGTTGTTTCCCAGTTGTACATTTTTGTCGTTTAGAATACAAATGTGAAAAAATATGGGGCGTCATTTCGAGACCTTTTCTATCAGCGATACCTATGTCATTGATGGCTCACACGTTTCATTTCCTCACATTCGAGAATAAAACTTTGGTAGGAAGTGTGTTATCTATGTTTATATGTATGTACTTAATTATCTATATTTGAACGTGTGTTATTAGCCCTGTGACTGCATTTTCGCGACTACACGCAGTTGACCACACGGTTTAACCACACTTTCTACTTTTTCTTTCGCGTTTCCGCACTCACCGAAGTCACAGATATCCCCCCCCCCCCCCCCATCCAATCGGCCTCACAGACTTTAGTACAACAATGAATTTTTTGTGTTAGCTAACCCATCGACAGATAATCATATTTGCTATACTTTTTTGGCCTATTAACCTTCTTCTTATATCCTCGTTAATACGTCATCGGTGACGTCATCTCTGTTAAGAAACGCATACACAGGGCTTTAAGTATTGTTGCTTTAGGTCACGATGCGCGCGTAGATCATCACAGCTGATCGATGTTTGGTTCAGACTGTCAGCTCCTAACACGGGCTGAACATAGCAGTATCGCACTTACTTAAGCAGTAACGGATATAATAGAATACTAATAACAATAATAAGCGCAATATAAAGTATCATTGCAAAGAAGTGTTAACGGTTAATAACAAACCCGTATACTTTGGGTTCAAAGGCATTGTTTACGAACATGGCTCTTCTAGAAAGGGTAAGCGAGCTGACAGGGCTATATTAGAGCTACATTTTCTTATTTCTATATAAATATATATATATATATATATATATATATATATATATATATATATACATAGTGTATAAATTTAGAAACAACGAATCCATGAGATTCCACCTGCTAAGCGGCGAGTGTCACATCCGAATTAAAGCACTAAAGTTTTGTCTGGATGAAATCAATTTTTAGGCAATAGATTATAGGGTTCTAAGTGATGTATAGGCTGTGTGTTGGTGAGGTACATCATTACTTGCCTTTAGGATATTACCTATAAGGACTGCCCTTAAAGTGAAAAAATTTTAAAAACTATTTTAATTATTTAAAACGTGGTTTTTAAAATACATGTACGATTTTACCATAGAAATAGGTAAGATATTTTAGACGTTTTGATTCCTTTATTATCGCTCTAAGAGCTAGTAGATTATACTTCCTATACTTAAATATTTAGTCCATGTATTTTCAAATTTTTGCATTACAGTCCTAAATAATTATTAAAATTTTTTTAATAATAACAATTAATTAAGTTTTTTCAATTTAAAAACTGGTAACTTTTTTTTAACCTCATTGTGTAGTCAATGGGAAAACGGTAGCTGAGGCTTGAACTTCTGCGTTTCATAACGTACATTACATGATAGGGTAGCATTAAATATGGGCATTCTAAAGCGGGCTCAAAGAGCTGCGCAAAGGACAGTAGAGAAAAGTGGGTTCAGTTCGACATTTGAAAACAATAAAGGAAGTTTTGCTTATGGCCTGCAGATCTGTTTATTGTATCTACTGCGCATTGCTATCTACAGCATGTTGTGGTCCAAGTTGTCTCGCGCAAGTTTAACTTCATCTTACGTTCGGCTATAACTCCGTCGAATCCTCACAAATACGACCACGAAGACATATAACACCCATAACTACAAATAATGACATGAAAAGAATTCTTGAAAAATCTCAGCCTAATAGATTCCGGTAACTTATGAGATTTTCCATAGCTTACGAGTGACGATATGAGAGTCTAAGGACGATTTTCTGTGAAAGGTGTTCAAGTCTGTGGACCTGTGTAAATTCAATTGTGAATGAAATTGTGAGATATTTTCAATCCTGTATCAGTAACACTGTATTTAATAGCTGTGTAACAGCATATAGTTTCGTTGGTACTGGTATGAAATGCCTTATTAACGAAATGACGAGAATTACTGTATGTTGGGGAATACACAAGGATTTCTAAACGTACTTGGAGCGTGTGGTAGTGTCCTGTATTTGGGCATAAATACGATTAACTCTAAGCGACGAATCATTATTGGGTATTGGTACTGCCTTAACAGCTATCGATCCTGGTAACCACTATTTACCATTATAATGCAATAGCTACGAAGTATTACTTTCAACTAATTCTACTTTTCCAACTGACTAATGAGCGACAAACGCAAATTCTATGTTTTAAAGAGAGCAAAATTTGCTATTTTGTTGTCTGTTCACAGGTGACAATATAACCAAACGTTACAGAAGTTTAAAGCGAAAAGTTCAAGCTGATTCAAAATGTCGGCTCTTCGCTGTTCGTTTCAACGTACGCGGAGCCTCTTAATGGTTTCATCGTCTCATCGAGGTGAATTGTTGGGTTTCTAGTGGTTCATCACTTAGGTTTCATCATTATAATATTGATTACATATATTTTTACACAATCTTCAAAGGACTAGCACAGACTCTTAATAAAAATAGCACTTTGAGCAGCCTTTAGCAATTATTCGATTTCTCTCTGAATCTTTTGTCTAGAGGCATATCAGTCTTGAACATTATATCATTTCTTCCCTCCAAATTTACTTAGTTGTTGCACTGCTCATTGTTGTTACGAAAAATAAATGTAATTCAGTACTTTAAGCTAGCCGTATGTAGTCCCAACATGTAGCCCTTCCCTAAAACGGAGCAAATTCTAAAACGAAAGCAGGGAGAAATTTAACACATGCTACTTTTCAGGTTTCCTAATGAATTTTTCGTTTGAAAAAAATTGGCCACAAATACTCGTTTTCAATAAAATAATAAAAATGGAGTAAATACGTTAGTTCAAAGCTGTTATACTATTGTTTAACGAAAAATGTAAGAATGATGTGAATACGTAAAGTAGATCGGTCAAATTTTAGCCGTTCAACTGGCCAAACAGCAAAAACATGAGCTTTTGAGCTAAAACGCATAGTTCTGAGTGAATGATACTTAGAAAAGCTGAGATGCCTAATGAACTTCACAAAAATAACCTTCACGTCTTCACTTATAGGTCGAACTCTACACCGGCTACGGCACACTACCCCATTTCCTGTGCGATGTCTTTCATTAAGTCCAGCCTGTCGAAGGAATCTTGGGAATGTAATAAACTATCTGGATACCGAGGAGTTTGGACTGCCTGCTATTACAAAGGCACCTTCTAAGACTGAAATCACTAGTCAACGAGGCAGTAATAGTCCTTCAGGCGGCGATGGAATTCATAGGTGATGACTTGATTGTGTCTCGGTTATCCCATTTGAACATACCAACACTGCTTAACAAAGCGCGAACAAAGACAGTGGATGATCAGTGACTAATTTGTTCATTTATTGCATTTTCCGTCTGCTCGATGAAAAATGTTGCTTCTTCAACAAGTAAAAAGAAATGTGTTACAATTTGGTGCCATTCGCTAGCTGTCTGCAAAAAATTTTCTATTTGGATGGTTATATTACTGATGGATACAGTTTTTTAACAATTTTTTCGATTATATATATATGGTAGTTTAAGGATAGGCTGCATATTCATGAAAATACTGGGTTTTATTTAGACATAATTTTGTGGTAAAAGGTAATGTTTCGCTATTAATAATCAAACTTACATGACCGACGATACTAATCTCTAACATGATTTGCATGCTAGACACAAAAAAGAAAAATACATAGTATGAATTTCCACTACTTAAAGCAGCATAAAACGCGTGCTTTAAATTATGCGATTAATGATGTTAAAAATGAGAATACAAGCTTCGTGTCTATGGAAGTTATAATAACACCGAACGCTGTATCATTAGATTACTACTCGCCACCATCTCCGACAAGAAGCGACAGATTTACCCGCAAAAGGTTCCTTTAACTTTCATCCATCCTTAGCGCCTTTATCTATCGATTGAATGGGATTAGGGTTTTGACCAAAATTGATTAGTAATAATGACCGTAAAATATTAAGTAACTCCTGATCTTAATTTGCCGGAAGTACAGTGTGGGGCACGCAAATCAGTGTAACGCGGAACAATTGCACTTAATTTACTTACGGTTAAGTTCTTAGTAAGCAAAAACCAGTGGAAGTGGAAAACAATCTAGAACTGCAATGCATAACTAATTGAGTATTACTAGTTGGTTCTATGAATTGTATCTATCGTGTTTATGTAATTTTTCCTACTATTCTTAGTCACGAGCTTCCAACAGAAAGGGTAAAGTTTATAAATGATCGCGAATAGCAGATGTTTTACGAACTCTCTTATTTCGATGATGTCTTTGAGTTTATAGTCGGGCTATAAGATATATAATTTTCTAAATTGAAGCCAAAACAAAATATTATATGGAGCTCTAAGAGTGCATGTATTCTAAATGAGGCTGGTGCTAGCATTGAGATATGACAGATGAACCTAGACATTCACTATTAATAGAATATTAATCGATTGACTTACTGCGTCCGCGCCTACGCTTCTTGTACATTTTTATGTGGTGATTATACGGTATTCGCGATAAACAGAAGCCGAAGTACAACGTTGGGTAGCGGTCCTCCAACGGCATCAGGAGCAGGCGGTACAAGTGGCACGACACCGAGTGGAGGTGGATCCGGTGGAGATAAGAATGGCTACCGCTGCCAGAAATGTGGCAGCCAATGTACACACGTTGGAACATTCGTCTGTAAGCGGAACTTCTCGGTTCTTTAGTCCTTTGTGATTTCAACTTGGCTGGTTGTTTTATAAAACAGTGCTATCCATTCTTAGGTTTGTATGTACTATGCATAGGATATTAATAGTTTTCGTTTCCCTCCCGTCTCTTTCAAATCTACTTTCATATTGTGTGGCCTATGTTCTCTGCTCAGATATAGATGCTAGGTCACTGCGACAGCCGCAGTTACTATTAAAAATAGTGGTCTTATAAACGAGTTTTTTTGGTTTGGTATTACGGATTATTCGTTAGATGTTAGGGGTTATGGGCTATGCCCTTATTATTTCATATTAAGCAGTGATCTTATGTGACATTACAGCAACAACCCGTTTCGTAAAATGTGAAAAATGCCATCATTTCTTTGTTGTCGACCCAGAGGGGGAGAACAAGAGATCAGCGAAGGAATCATCTTTGAATAAACCATCGGCACCCGTTACCCGGAAAGCTCCACCTCCGCCCAAGAAAATTTATGAGTATCTAGATCGGCATGTCATCGGACAGGATCAAGCGAAAAAAGTACTCTCAGTAGCTGTATATAACCACTATAAACGTATCTATAATAATCTAGCGAAGAATCAAACATCCGGAGATCCACCATTAAGTACGGAGGCTACTTCAGCACAACCTACGACATACGCGCCATTTACGCTGCGGGATTCCCCCATTCAACTGGTGCATATTCCAGGACCACACGGTTCTGCTGTTTCCAACGCTGCGTTTGGCCAGTCGGCAGCTGAAGCTGATCAACAAAAAATAGCCTCAGGAAGTCAAACACGTGGCGGAGAGGTTCTTGAAAATATCACGCAAGATATACGACTAGAAAAAAGTAACATTCTGCTTCTGGGACCAACGGGCTCAGGAAAGACGCTTCTTGCACAGACAATTGCACGCTGCCTCGAGGTCCCGTTCGCAATTTGCGACTGTACAACGCTTACCCAGGCTGGTTACGTTGGTGAAGATATTGAGAGCGTGATTGGCAAGCTGCTTCAAGATGCCAACTTTAATGTCGAACGAGCACAGCAAGGCAAGTATATAAGTACATGCAGCACTGGACCAGCGCAACAATAAGATACATTCAAAGTAATTTCAAGATATTTTAGCGTGGAATTTCTAGGCCGGCTTTTTTCTTATGCAGTACGTCTGCATCCATTTTTGTCTCCTTCTTATTTAGAAATATGCTTTCCTACCATCCATATTGCACTTTATATAACTTTTATAACTCAGTTAACAAAAAGCACGAATCGTATGCCAAAATTTCTAGATATTTAGTATAACTTAAATGCAGGTATATTTGCGAAGACTGAGGACACATTCAAGGTTTGTTAATACTCCTAGCTAATTCTAATCTCGTTTAATTTAAATGATCCTGTATGACAATGTCATGTTTTATTAAATATAAATTCATAGTAAGTTAAAACATCAAATTTTATCTTGTTATGCGTCGAAATAATTTTGGAAGCGGACTGACTATTAGATCTTGAAAAACAGCCAGAACCGAAAGCATAAATCATGTGCTTTAGAATATACGGAGTAATTAAGATGAGCGGTTACATTATTTTTCCCATTTAAAACGTATTGAAACTGAAATGACACATGCTTTGACCCTCGTTCAGGCATCGTATTTCTGGATGAAGTTGATAAAATCGGTGCAGTGCCAGGTATTCACCAGCTTCGAGATGTTGGAGGTGAGGGCGTTCAACAAGGCATGCTGAAGATGCTTGAAGGCACACTTGTTAACGTTCCTGAAAGGAATTCACGTAAGCTCCGAGGTGAAAGCCTGACGGTTGATACTACGAATATTTTGTTTGTCGCTTCGGGCGCATTCAATGGACTGGATAGGCTCGTCAGTCGCCGGAAAACTCATAAGGTATGCAGCAAAGCTACAGCGTGAAAGCAGCATCACGATATATAGACCAATTATCGGGACATAAGACCGCCATGCTAAGCATTAATCTGCGAAAGTAAAGAGATCCACATTTAAAGGGTAGCAGTTATTTCAACAGAGTCACAGCACCAAAATGGTACAGAAAAGTGAGCCAGATAGAAAATAACCATAACTCTTTGCTCTTTGGCACATTGCATCCCTGGACGTGAGCTCGTTGGCCTTATTGGTACACCTCAAGAGGCTCCTTTTTTATCTTGCCTATTAAACTAGTGTTGACGGTCTTTGACAAATGTGTGGCTATTTAATATTGGTTTAGACCAATAACTGATCCCGTGTTCGTTTATATTGGTCTAGCTATTTCAGTTCTATGGTTTTTGCGTGACACCGATCTAGTTCCTAAATTTTCTATCATAGCATTCTCTTAAGAAACGTTTAAATTGATTGATACAAACTTTAAATGGATCAAATAACTAAATTCCGTGTCCATCCTGGGTTTTGCACTCAACCGGGCATCAGTCCACTTCCTAATAAGACCAGCTAAACAAAATGTCTAGTGCTTTGAAGCTGTTTTTATCGATGAGGTATCTGAACTCCTAATTATTCCTGTAACCTTATCCATGTTCTTCTAATTCTGCTAGGTATAGCGTTCATAAAATCGGTGACGTTGTAAAACCTGTTGGTTACTCTTTGCCGTCTTGAGCTATTTGGATTCATCTTTCTGTGGCATATAATTAAGCTCTTGTTCTTTTGCAGTAAATTGATTATTGCGATTAATGTTGTACTAGTATTTAATGGAGCTTACTCCCGTTGACTCTAGTACTTGTTCTAGTAGTATCAAAAAAGGCATATGTTAGTATTTTAAACTGGTTCTAAGCCAGTCTCTATCATCGATATCAATACGAGGATATTGTCATCTTCTCGTCTACCCGTTTTAAGTTCAATTTGCATTTCCTCCAAGAATTCCTGTTTGTCCATCCATTCATACCTCTTTCCATTCTGCTGCAATAATTATCGTTATTCTGTATCGGATAACGGATATTGCGATGGATCGGTAGGCTGTAAAGGTTTCCTTCCTGGATGAACTTCTCTGTAGTTGAAATATTCTTTCAGCCTAATCGCATGGAAGTTTATCCATTCTAGCTAGGATAATATTTTAAATAGGTTTTCTGTATATGCGTATTTCAGCTCGCTCGGTTTTATTTGATATTGTTGCCGGTATCCCGTCTAGTCCTGTAGCAAACCTACTTGACACCGTACCCAACATTTTCTGCACTTCTTATGCGCCGTTATCGTCTTCGAGTTTCGTTGTGTTACGGGTTGTGTTTAAGTTACGTAGTTTCAAAAGTTTGTGTGATCGCTTGTTAAATCATTAGTCGATTTCGTTTGCAGCTTTCTTGTTGTCGACTATTTATGTTAGACTTGTTTCGTTTTTGGGAGCAAGAGCATTTAGGTAGAAAGGAAGCGATGTGGTCGAGACCTTTATGTGAAGCTTTGATTTTTTCTTCACCATGTGAAGCACGTATTATAATATACGATACAATCAAATTACAAACGCTCTATCCCATATTTGTTCCTTTACATCTTTCCATTTTGTTTATTCTGGTTAGTCTCGTTTTGACCGCAAATGATTATAGAAGCCTCCTTCTCTGGAAGATAACTTTTGGCCATTCCAGTCACCACAGATATTATAACAACCTGTACCCTGATTTTTGTGGTCATAAAAACCCTCGTTAGCCTGAGATTCGTGTCGATTAGTTCGTGTTTCTTGTACGTATACAGCTGTGAGAAACCTAAATCTAAATGCCTATCTTGGTGTTGATAGCTATCCAGTCTTCGCTTTTATTGTCAGTAAAGCGTTTCTTTAATATGAGAACACTTCCCATTCTGTGATTTGACTGGGAGGTAATCAGACAAGATGACGCCGAATCCACCTCGGCCTATGTTCTGACGTTCAATTTTTTGATTTGAGCATTTTCGCTATTGCCACCCAATGGTGTTTTTCAGATGGGTTTCGCTAAACGCTAACATAGGATAGCGTTTTTTAATACGGGAACATTTTCTACCTTCGTTTAATAATAAGTTTAATTCTATTTCTGTTCCTCTCACGGCTACTCTTTGTGTCACCCCGCCTTTGCAACCCTGTTGTAATAAGTACAATGTACTAGATCGTATTGATAGCGGTCTTTTGAACGTACTTATGCAAAACCATTCTATGCTCCACTGAAACTTTCAGATAAATCGTTTGAATTGCAAATTCGCTGATTCGGTTGAAATAATCTATTTTTAAAATATTTTGATTTGCAAACATTTCTATGCAACCTGTTACGATTTTTGGGCACATTCATGCCCCTAATGGTAATTTTAGTAAGTTTGTCTGGCCAATAGTCATAGTGGTTTTGTTTAACTAAAGTTATGCTGCTGCATGATAAATTTCATTGTATACAAAACAAGCTAGAAGCAATGCACTTCGTGTTTCATATGCATATTAAGTATTCTTTGTGGTTTTTTGGCTCCTCTACAGTACTTAGGCTTTGGGGCAGCAGTTCTCGAGTCTCGAGGGCGACGAGCGGCCGCTTCCGAGGATATGGCTAACAGCGCTGCTCATGAATCTGCCGAAAATGAAAATCTGGAGAAAGATGCAATGCTGAAGGCAGTTGAAGCTCGTGATTTAATCGAGTTTGGCATGATACCAGAATTCGTTGGCCGTTTTCCCGTTATTGTGCCGTTCCATTCTCTAACAGAAAATATGCTCATACAAATTCTAACCGAGCCTCAGAATGCGCTTCTTCCGCAATTCCAAGTACTTCTTAGTATGGACAAGGTGAGAAGACTAATAGTTTAACATTTTTTTTTATATATTCTTCTCAAGTATTTTATGTAAAGAATATCTCGTCTGCTATATCTCTTATTTGCCCCTCTTCAATCAAGCCACGATTGCAGCCAGCTTTGCCCGATATGTCTTTCCATGTTTACCTTTCTTGTTTTCCGGCGCGCAATATGAGAAACTTAAAAAAACTGAAGCAGACGTACCAACAGTAGTCGTACTTGCGGCGGCATCGAGTCCAGTGCTGTCTGAACCTTTCCATTGTTTAGCTTAACTATGGAATTACGTTTATTTCCTACGTACATATTTCAGTGCGAATTGACGTTCGATGAAGCAGCTTTACGCTCGATTTCCCACCTTGCCATGGAACGAAAAACAGGTGCCCGAGGACTTCGAGCCATCATGGAAAAGATTCTGCTCGATCCCATGTTCGAAATACCTGGCAGCGACATCACCGGAGTACATATTTCGAAAGAGGTGGTTGAGGGCACAGCGCCACCTACTTATGTGCGGCAAGGCAACAAAAGCGCGGAGGATGAGGAAAGTCCACAGGGCGCACGTGCGATTAATTCCTGAATGAAGTAGTGGATCTGCACTACCCTGCGAGTACATTGAAAAATTTTCTCTCTACCAGCGAAAAAAGTGATGAATAGAAGGAATTTGAATGCAAAATCCGAAATATAGGGCCACCATTAGAGGTAGCGCGAAACCGATGAAACACGCAATTGTACGCATGAGGTGGTTATATGGGCAAAGGCCAGAACGCACTCATGTCAAACTTCGCTAACTCAGAAGACGAAATACAGCATACCTATGTGGATAAGACTGCATAGGTTTTGCAATGATTGTTTAGATGTAATTCCGGGCTTCTTGTAGCTATCAGGACCAGTATATATAAACATATATGCCTAAGGCAAAAAAGGCTGCTTCTCCATTTTAGACAGGAAATAAGCGAAGTTTTTGGAAGTTACGATCTCGCTTTATACATGAGGTTTTCATGTTTCATTATCCAAAGCGATGACCGCAATAGTGTAATTCTGTTCCATTGTTCGCCAACAGATGTGTTGAGCCGATGCGCAAGACATTTTTACTCGTTATGAAAACCTAAGACAACATCGTAGCATATCTGCCCTATTTTAATATTAAAATACATAGTATTTCGAAAAGAACTTTTTGCAGAGTAACGTGTATTGCTTCATTTAATGTGCAAACGAGCTAAGTAGGGCCAACGGGATAAATCAGTCATGAGGACTCGTGTTGTAAAGCTGTTCTCTCAATATTTGAGTGCGTTAAAGCATTTCGGGAATGTTTTTCGTTGGTGACGTACCTGAGACTGCGGTGATCAGCGACATCAAGAAGAGGTACCGAAAAAAGCTTACTCATCTGTTTTCGAAATGGCATTTGTATTTTCACAAAACCTTCCTATCAAACGTTTGGAATGAGAGCCGAAGGTCATACATCAGTTGGTCCGAATAAATATATATATTAAAAAGCTTGAAATTGTAAATAGATGTTTGGTTAATACGACACAAACATGTGATGGAGCGGTATTTGGACGAGTAGATCATCACGATATTGATATGCGAATACCGAAAGTTCATCTCAAGAGGTGTAAACAGTTGGTTATCTCCAAGCTAAAGTTTTTACTCCTAATCACAAATAAATTGAGACGGGGGTGAAGTCGGTGCTTGTAAATAAAACAATCTAGCCACTCATACTCTTTTCGTTTTAATACAATTAGTTCCTTAAGCAAGTGATAACGGCATGCTGTTTTGCAAAATTGCACACGAGGCATGTGTCAGCAAAATTAAGTGTGTGATATATGAAGAAGGAGATCATTTTAAAGTGACAGTTTGAAGTTTGTGATAGAATTCTTCACTCCTCTATCAGACAATCCGCTTAAGTGATTTATTATAATCTAGTAAATGATCTCACCCAAATCCGTAAAGTAAACGTTTGGGAAGTTCGGCTACGAGGTTCGGAATGAGTGCGGTTTTCGCGCGAAGGATCCCAAGTTTGTTTTACTTTATAGACTTGGATATTGCTTTATTTTTTAATAATATTTTTTGTTAAATTCAATAACATTATTGATAAGTCGTGGGTAACGTTAATTAACAAAGCACACTTTGCTTCTACGAAGTGTGACTGATTGGGCGTCTATTCCTGACACAATCATCAAATACCTTTTTACATATTTTAGTTTGTATCGAAAGGTTTATTACAGAAACACGTAGTTTCAGCATAACCCTTAGTTACCATTTGGAATATGCGCCATTATACCCAATTGCAATTACTGTTCATGTAGTCTGATGTTCTAATCGTGATATCTGAACTTGGTTCCCAATAACGCCTATTTCCTAAGAATTCTAGAATAATTCGTGTCTTTCTTTTATCATATCTTTACATCTTTAGCGCGTAGACACCCAACGTAGTTTGTTTTCTGTGATACTGAAGTTAATATTTACCAATGCAATAACAACATTATCAAAAAAGGACGCCGTTATTGTTGTAAAAACGTTGCTTTATTTAGTAGCAAGTCTGGTTAATACAAACGTCTCTTACAATAAATATAAAGATGGCAATACATCAGTATTGTCATTTTGACATTTAATTAATGCGCAAATATATTATAGTTTGATTATTATGTGACTAGGATGTATGAATTAAATAAATGCCTAGTCTACAAGGAATAAAACCTAGTCTTACGTGCTTAAGAATTAGAATAAAATCAATTTAAAATCTGATATTTCCGACAATTTTGGGATTCTAAGTTAAAAAATTATTTCATATTATTCTGTTTCGTCTATCATGCATGCAATAGTGTACTTGTGGGAGATCGATAGAAACTACAGGCTTTTGTCAATAGGAACGAGGCATTTCGGGGTGTTTTAAGGGAGCGGATCCCCGTTTTACACACAATACCAATGTTTTTGTTCCCCATTTTAGCAAGAACAATAATACACAACATACATGTAATTTAAAAAAAACCGTAGATGGTAATAGATCGTACTTTAGTTTTAAAAATAAAGTTACCATAGATGAGCACTGGGGACCCGTTACCTCGAAAAACCACATAGGAGACCCATACGAAGTTGCTTCCATTACTATTAAGGATTAAAACACAGTCTGCAACAACCAAAATCAATTTTTGATTACTTTTGATCAATATCGTACAGATATTACTGTCTACATCGTTTGGATATTCCCAAATGGGAATATCCAAACGATGTAGGCAGTTACGATACGTTTATTCGTTATGATATCTATCTGTGGCTTACAGTGGTGTTATACATCAGTATGTACATCGTATGTTGTAAATATATAATTTGATTATCAGAGTATTCATCATTGGCGGGTATAATGTCATAACACAACATAACGACTGTTTCTAAGCGTTAGTTCAAGGCTGTGTTCTGACAACTTTATGAGCATTTATTATCTATTTATGATCACAAAGACAAAAACTAAACACTATGATGATCATTTGTTACTAAATTATCTCAAAAGTGTCTCACGGGTATGGCGTAAATCTTTGGCGAACAGGCTTTGGCAAGCTGAGTTAACATTGGCATAATTGCTGCGCAAAGCTTAAAAACATATGGGTAAGGGATCGATGCAAGCCATTTGCATCATCTTATGTTTGACGGCGGTCTTCGTACGACTTAGCACAAAAGTAGATCTCCTGTCCTGCCATTGAGTTTTTTGAGCTTGTTTTTTGATGACTGATGCCACAAGTTGGTTAATTGGCTATGGCGAAAAGTGCAATAACACTGACGCGCATTACGCAGAAGCGCATAACATCACTTAGAATAAACCGATACAGACGTTATAGCTAAAGCTGTAACATAGCCGCTATGCATTTACCACTATGGCTTGAATACATGAAACAGACAAATTATCTGACGATAGGCAACACGAAAGCTATGATACGTATGTGTATACATTTATATATATATATA